GACCTGGCTGTGTATTCAGTGGGCCCTCCCATCTCTGAGGTTGTAAATATCTACTTGCTGGCTGCCTTCCTGCGGTCCAGATTCCTATCCCACACGTGGCCATCAGGATAGTGAAGGAACAGCTTGGTTTGGTCCTCTCAGACTGGCTGAGGAACTCGGGAAGCCAGTCACCTGACCAATCAGAGCAGGAGGTAGGATGAGGGTAGTCTTTGCCCCCAAGGCAATTTGAGCTGCAATCAAAGCTATCCCATTCAACCCCAAAGACATAGGATAAACACTGAATCTCCCCCTCCTAGAAGCCAGGCACAGTCTGAATCTTCCGAGTATTCTTGGGTGGGTGGGGAAGAAACTATTAGTGACTTGCCTGGGCATCGGGGGTTCGTGTACACCCTGAAGGCACCAGACAGTCTCCCTGGTGCTCTTCTACTCAGACTCATGCCTCCGTTTTTCTCTTGAGAACAAAGACACCCTCTCTGACATCCTGCCCCCAGAAGGACTAAGGGGCTCCAGGAAATAGGTACCCTTCTAAATGCAGGTCCTCTGACTCTGTCAATGCCGATCATAGCACCACCATCTTTGGTTGACACTGCTGCTTCCTTCTGGTGTCTCCCTCAGCTAACATCTGTGGTCATCACAACCATCAGGGTTACTAATCCTGAGAGCTTCCTGGAATATTCTTGACCACTAATCACCAAGGTGGGTCTCCAGGTCACCAGAGGACAGGCAGAAAAAGGACCCAGTACTTATTAATTTTCTGGACATTCAGAAAGTTTAAGTCCCTAGACAGTAGAGACTCCCAACAGAAGGTTGGCCTTGGTCTTGGTCTTGAACATTGTTTAAACATTAATTTGTGCGTGTGTGTGTGTGTGTGTGTGTGTGTGTGTGTGTGTTTATATGCAGGAGTCTCCTTCTATCATATGTGTCCCAAGGATGGAACCCAAGTTGTTGGGCTTTGTGGCAAAGCAATTTAGCCACTGAACTAATAACTCCCTGGTCCTTGAATGTCTGATTCAGCACTAGGTAAATAGGATACAGTGATACAAATGAGACCGGGGCAGCATGCCCTCCCACCAACCACCCTCCCCACGGAAGCCACACAGGGGTGCTCTGACCAACTGTCATCCACTCTTTCCAGAATCTACAGCAGACATGAGAGCTGTCCGCCTAGTCAGATACTGGTAAGAATCCAGGAGCAGGAAGGATGGCCCATCTGTCTATGGGAAGTATAGGTACATCCTCAGAGCAGTCACCCTTGGGTGCTTCAGGCTCATCTTCATCCCAAAGATAACCGAAAGTCTCTCCAGAAGTGGGTGCTCAGCCACTTACTTGTCTCAGAGCACTTACCACGAAGGACAGAGTCCTCCAGGGGATCGGGGCAGATAGACTTCATTCTTCCTTGTAAGGCAAGTGCTCTGAGGCCTTCACACCTAGCAGCACACATTGCATCACGGAGAAGGTACATCAGGGTCTCCCATCAGCAAAGCCTTCCCACAACCCAGTCTGCACCCCGGGAAGAAAGCCACACTTAAAAGATGTTCTGGGGGAGACAGTGTGTTTATTGCAGCTAATAGATCCAAGCAATCTGACAAACTGCTAAAGAAACTCAGCCTGCTCCCAGCAGTCAGGTCACAGAAGGCCATTTGTTTAAGCTTCTCCCCCCCACCACCACCACCAAACAGGAGGTAGAACCTAGACCTGTTTAAGCATTTGCTATGCAGCTGGGTTCTCCCCTAAGAAGCATAAAGAACATTCCATAATGAACCTTTGGTACTCGGAAACAATGACAAGTGATTACACCCTCCCCCCAACACACACACAGTGTAACTTTTGGAGTGGGCATAGTGAGATGTTTTATGTGTATATATCTCTAACTACATAGAAAGGCTATGTACAGTAGCATCTTCAGCAAGCTTCAGTAAAGGAAGACAAGAGCAAGAGGCACAGCAAGGCTGTCTATTCTTAAGACATATGTAGGAAAAAAAAAAAGCTTTCTTAATTTGTCACCCGTTCCAACTGCACCAAGCCATTCTTATGGCCTGGGACTAACTTCTTTGGACCTGGTCGCTATCTCCATCTGTCTACCTGCTTAGCCTGATCTTGTAGGTATGCAGCAGCCCAGCTTTCCCAAGGAGACTCCCAGGGAAACATAGATCCAATCAGCTTTTCCCATTTGATAAAGTGGGACTAGCTGATGAGTCCCGTGGCTGGAGGGACAGACAGCGATTTCCGAAGCCAGTTCCAAGGCACCGCAAGGCGTTTTCAGTCCTGAAATATTGTGCTTTGTTCTCATGAGCTGAATCCCACAGGTTAGCCAGCCAGTCTTGCTCTGCAGCGGCCCGTAATTAGGAGGCAGAGGCAGATGGGATGTGAGGAGGGGGTTCTGGGAGAGCGGGAGAGGCAGGAGAGACTGGAAGCACAGTGGGGGGAGCATACAGCCAGGAGCAGAGCTCGGAGCCCACCCTACAGCAAGAGAGCAGTTTGTAGGCGTAAACTAAGAAGCAAGCTGCAGCAACGGTGCCAGTAGGAACATCTCAGTTTCCAACTCCACCTCACAGAAGCCAAGTTTTGTTCTCAACCTCGAGCCCAGAGACCCTGGAGGAGGGTCTAAGTGGCTCCAACAGAAAGTGCACACGAGGGTAAGTACCTGGGGCAGAAATGGCTCCTGACCCAGTTCATGAGGTCCAAAGACGGGCATTGCTTTCCCTGGACCCCATTCCGTCAGGACAGAAAAGAAAAAGACATCCCCCTCCCCAAGAAACTTTACTTCTCTAGGAGGCTGCTTATTTGTACAACCCTATGGGGGGGGGATCTCATAAGTAACCATTCCCCCCAAATGTTAGGAGACTTCGAAAAAGCAAAGTCCCTTGTCTGTGCACCACGAAAGAAGAGGGCACTTGCCAGGGGATGAAAAGTGGCCGCTCCCAGCTGCAGAACTATACACCACCACCCTTGGCTTCAGCTGGCTTGAGGAACCCATGACTCATCTCTCTGTTCCTAGTTGGCTTGCTTGAAGGATAGGCAGTGTCCACCCGCTCCGGGCATCCCGGTGTTTTAGCTCACTCCCATTGGCAGTGTGGTGTTTGGCAGTTAGGTACTGAGCCAAAGAGTTTAGAACTTCCAGAAGGGTTAGATTTACCTTACCCAGGAGTTCTCTGGCTGGTTACCCATCCCTTACTCTGTGCCCAACGTACGTGACTCCTGTACCCCTCCCAACAGTACCTTCCCCCTTCCCTTGCACCCTTACTTTCCCAAAACCCAGATTCTAAAGTCTCATCCTTCAGCCTCTCTTGTAGAAGAAGCAGTGGCTATGGCGTAGAAGTAGATGCACCAAAAAACAAATGAATCTTGGTCCTACGTGCAGATTTGGCAGTCCCTGACTCTGTTATGGCTTTGTATGCACCCCTGGCACACTTGCACGATGCCTGGCGTACAGCATAAACTCAGGAAATGGTTGTTGGATTGACGTGAACTAAGCTAACCTCCCACCTATTATCATTGGTCTCTTTGAGTGGCTATTGTCTCTGATAAGCAGAGGCAAGTATTGGTCCCTGAGACTGTCTTGGTTCTGTCTCTACCACACTCTTCCCCTACCCTGAACAGCTAACTCCCTGAGCTTGTGGGGACTGAGTTCCTGGAAGAAGCGCAGGGCTAGGTGAATCCCACCGTCCAAACACCTCCTGGGTTCTCCCGCCAGGAAGCTCTGTTTATTCTAATTGGGGACCAAGGAGCCAGAACATGAGCAATACTTTCAGCTTCTGTCCGTACTCACTTAGGACTTCAATCTCCCCATCTGCAGGAGGCTCTGTGCCAGTTCTCTGAGCGTGTCCCAACACGATGCTCTCCGGTTAGCCATTTCTGTCCCGCCTTTCTCCCATCTCTGGACTTATAAACAAGTTTCTTATAATGATAGTAAAATGTCTCTGGACTTAAGTCCCTTATAATGATAATAAAACGGCAGTGAAAGTTGGCTTCCCACAGGAACGACTTTCTCCCCTACAAAGGGAGTTTGGGGCAGGGGTTGGGGTTGGGGGGGCTCAGACGCTCCTCCAGCGTGCTCTCAGATTTCATGTGCTCCAGCCTTCTCTTCCTTCTTGCCTAAAGCCAAGCAGAAACCCTGCCAAGGGCAACTAGAAACCCCCAAAACTAAAGTCCTGCAGGAAGTTGCCCCTATACACAGCCCTGCCTCCCCAAATACACTCCAGTTCTGAGGCTTGAAGGCTGCTGGCCGAGGCCAAGGAGATCATCTTGTTTAAGAAGGCAGCCACATGTATGCCGTGAAGCCCGCACCCCTCAGTCCCTCACAGGTCTCTTAAGGAGCAGCCTTAGAGTAGGATCTGATCCTACCTGATGCGGATTTTCAAGGAGCGCTCTTGAAAGCATCCCCAAGGGAGCAGCAGCCAATAGTAAACCAGAGCCTCTCTGGGCGTTGCTAGTGATAGAAACAAAGCCAGAACAGAGTTCTCTGGGCCAAGGCTCCTGTCCAGAAATGCCTCAACCCTATCTTTCCTTGAGTGCTCTCAAGGAAATGCACAGTCATCCCTTTAAATAATGCTTTCACAAATGGTAGGACCCCACTTTCATCCCCAGCTGATGGCTGTTCGGGGTTGGGAGTAGCCAGAGGAATACAGCAAAGCCATCATCCCGAGTCATTCCCGTGGTGCCTCTGTTCAGCATAAAACTACTCCGTCCCCCCCCCACACACACACCAACACACACACACACACACACACACACACACACACACACACACACTGCTACTCCTACAGTTTGAAACACCAGCAGACCAAATCCTAGACAGGATGGGCAGCCGACCTCTTCTCCCACTGCCCTCCCTCCCCCATCTTGTCTTTGGGACCACACACATGTCTTTCCTCCTCAAAGGCTGACAGGCTAGAGCCCTTCTCTGTTTTCCCTGGGACTCGCACATCTCAGATACCAAGGCAGTTTTCAGATGAAAGGGAGGGAGATCACCCTTGGTATGGGGGTGGGGACATGGGAAGTGAGGCCCCCAGGTCGATCCTGGGGTCCTATTCGAGAGAAGCACACCAAGAGAGAGCAGGCAGGGTCACACTGTACAGGGCAGAGAGTGAGAGGAGACAGGCACAGGGAGGGGCTTCAGGGCGGGCTTCCGGTTACTTGGCGCCGTCTTCCGCGTTGCCCTCGCCATCCGTCTTGCCTTCCTCTTCCGTCTTCAGGTCGTCCGTGCTCAGCTTCTGCTCTTTTTTCCTCCTCACACATTTGACCACCATCAGCACCAAGATGACAACAGCCAGGAACCCTCCCACTGAGGCACCCACAATAACAGCCACCGTGGAGTCCCGCTCCGGGGGCACTGCGGGAGAGGAAGCAGAATCATAGAGCTGGGAAGGAAATTCCCTCTCGCACCCGTGCTCCCCAAAATAGGAGGGGATATTATTTGACTATTCTCCATGGAATGGGGATTAGTGAAAGTCAAAGCAACCTAGACCACTGCCTCCTCCCCCAACCCCCATCTCTTCAAAAAGCCCCTCCACCCCCAGATTTGAGTATTTTAAATCATGGGCATTAAGATCAGACTCAATCTAATTCTAGAAGTTAGGAATTGTGAGATCTTAAGAAAGGTATGCTCTTGAATCTCATCCATACAATGGGCACGATTAAGGTTTTACTCGTGGTTGACTTGTTCCCTTAACAGGGTTGTGGATGTCTTCCACCAGTGCAAGCACCCGAAGATAAGAAGATGGGAGTCACAGCCTCCTTGAAGTGCCCCGTGCTAAGCTGTGGAGAAGGATCAGTGTCTCACAACTGCCCTGTCACTCTTACCTTCCAGAAGGACCTGCAGGTAGATCTTGCCGTGGCCACGATGGCGGTCCGGAGGGTTGGTGATGTAGCAGTTGTAAATGCCTTCGTCTTCTAGCTGTACGCTCTTTAGAGTCACTGACACGTCGTATTTACTGGGGTTCCCCGAGAACTCTACCCGGTCTCCAAACCGCTCCAGCTTCAGGTTAATGATCTTCATCCGGAACTGGAGGAACTGGGAGGGGAGGGGTGGATTAGTATAAGCAATGAGTGAGCAGGGGGCTATGAGGATCGTGGGGACACACCCTCTTCCCGTGCATCTTCTTTTTGAACACGGGAAGGAAGGGAGTTAGTCCTGGAAGGGCCATCCAGTTGTGGTGACATCATGCCCTCTGGATCAGACAGCCCACCCAGACTCTTCTTGGGGCTAGGGATGCGAATGATGGGCTTCACGCTTTGGGGCTCTTGCTTCCTTCCCTCCTCCACCGCGACTTACCATCTCCTCTGAGCAGTTGCTACACTCCTGGTAAGTCCAGTTTAGAGAGAACTGCTTGTGGTTCACGGTGTAGCAGGAGTTGAAGGTACAGGGCAGGCGGGTGTCAGACCCATTGAGGACACTAAGAGTGGTAGGGGCTGTGACTTCCATACTCCGCCCTGGGGGCACTGCAGAGAGAACCACAACCTGATGAAGAGGCTTGACGGAGGGTTGCAACCCTTCTATAGCCAACGGGGACCAGATAGAGAGAGGCAGAGAGGAGTTAAGGGGCCATGGGCTGGGCTCCTTACAGCTGTTAGGAAGCCAAAGCACACGAGGGACACCAGATGTGGTCCTTAGAAGGGGAAGGGGAACAGAACAGGTATGGAACAGCGTTGTCAATTTGTCTACCAGGCCATGAACAGCCAAATGGACTCAGGTTGTTCTAAGTCCACTCTGGGCAGACCCTCTACTTGCCTCTACCTACCCCAATGCCACTTCCCTGCCAGAGGTGTCACCGGGCTTGCCTCAGTTTCCCCTTCTTCTCCATCCACTTCAGATTATTTTTGCTGTGCCAAAGCCCCTCCAGGGGAAGCATCAGTGTACCCATAGGGCAGGCAGCTAAAGCTTGGTGAGCCTAGGAAGGCCTCGCTCTCTCTTGGCCCAGCACAAGCCACTGATTGTCCCCAGGCTCGCACAGACAAGAAAGAGGACAGACAGGGAGGAAGAGGCATTCCATAAGAAGAGGTTCATTCTGAGGACTCGCTGCTCAGCCTACATGGATGGTCTCCCCTTTGGGAAATGTTGACCTGGAAACGCTATGGCGAGAAGATGGTTCAGGTTGGCAGGTGGCAGGGTGGGGACAGAAATCCCTCTGAAGTACTGGATGAGGCGCCAGGTGTAGGTCAGGGCCTGGTGCTGCAACTGAGAAAAGTGTCCCCAGGGTGCTCCACTCAGAGTAGACCTGAGGAAAGACAGGTGAGCTGCCCAGGGCCCAGCTGTTCCAGAGACATGCACTGTCGCAGTGTGAAAATACTCCACAGATATACTCAGGGCTATCTCAGACTAGCCCAGACTTTAATTCCAAGATCATCTGCCAAGACTCTTAAAACTTCATTCTAAAAAATTAGCTTAGTATCGACAGGGCATGGGGCGTAGTTCAGGGGTAGAGTGAGGGCTCGTGTCAAAACTCTGGCAGTGACAGTGTCATTCATAAATTCATTTTCATTATTTTGTGATACAGGGCGTGTTTTTTATTTGTTTGTTTGTTTGGTTGGTTCCGTTTTGTTTTTACAACATTTGGCCTTGGAGTGTTGGGAGTGGCGGCATCTGGCTGGCCTCCTCTGGTAGTCTAGGCTATCTTGAAATTAGCTATGTAGCTAAGGATGACCGTGAAGTTCTTGACCTGCCTACCTCCACTTAGAGAAGGGAGGAGATGTCAGGAGCAGCCTGATTACAGGCTGGGATTACAAAGATGCCCCGCCCCTGCCCAGTTTATTCACTACTGGGAATCAAGTGCAAGACCTCAAGGGTAGTAGGCAGACACTCTACCAACAGAACCACACCCCCAGCCCTCATTCGTTCACCCTACTTAATACACATAAATTATCTATGTGTGCCAGGTTGCTGTTAGTCCTACGTCCTGGGAGTTGTCACTAATATGAGGCATAGTCCCTGTGTTGTGGGGCTTGTATTCTGGTGAGGGGACATAAAGGGACAACAACAAAAATAAGAACATGGCTATCTGGGGTGTTACATGACATGAGCTATAAAGACAAAGTATGGCAAAGGGGAGTCTAAGGGTGACCAGGGAACAAGGCTCTGGAGAATGACATTAAGGCAGCATCTAACTCAAGGAGTGAGCCATTTCAGAATATCAAGGGCCACGTTCCTATGGCTAGATTGGCCTTCACACATCTGAGAAAGAACAAGACAGGGCATGGTAAGACCTGAGGTCAGAGTTGAGCAAGGACCAGGCCAGGGGGCAGAGCATGGGAGTTGGGATGATTTTGGGGATTTGAGGGTGGGGTGTGGTCGCTGGAGTGCCAGCTGAGTGAAGATTACAGCTACAGATGTGGGCAGAAACATGCCCCCCCCCATTCCACTTACGTTCCGTCCCAGCTGTAGCCCCAGCCAACTATGAGCAGGTCCTCCACCTCCCCCTGCCTTAGCCTCCTCCTCCAGAAACCCTAGTTCACGCCACTGTCACCAGGTGGTCACAGTGACTGAAGCAAATGCTGAGTGGTCAGCTAAGGACAGCTGTTATTAACTGCATTCTCCTAAAGTTCTGCTTTGGGGACGGAAAGACCTAAGAGGTGAGATGGGGAGGTCTCGAGGCCTGAGGGTACCTCCGGACGGGATTTACCCCAGATCTAGTTAAGGAGCCAGGCTGCAGGGATCCTGGGTTTTCCCACAAACCTGCTAACCCCACCTTCAGAAGCAGAGGTGCAGCAGCCTGCAAGCAGAGAAGTTAAACCTTCCCGGGGCACCCTTCTGCTCAGCATATGTCCCTGCTAAGAGCCTGCAGAGCTCATAACCTAAGGACAGGAGGTTCTCCGGACTGCTGGCCTGGGAACCCCCACCAAAGCCCTGGATGGAGGCGGGCCTATGGGTCTCACCTGCTCACCAAGGACTTCAGTTGAGCACTGAAATGCTCCCCGAGGGAACGCCAGCTGGGAAGCTGATGGGGTTCCTTTCAAGAAGGCTCTCAGCTCTTGCACTTTCATATCGAGTCTAAAAGTACCTGGCACGGTGCCAGGCGAGGAGGTGTACAGAAAATATTAACACCACCCCCACACTGCAGAGGCTGGGAAATCTGAGGAAAAGAACTGACGGAGGCTTGTCCTCAGTTTACCTTCTATGCTGGGCATTCCAACCTCTCCAGCCCCCTCCCTCGAAAGGGCGTCCACCTTCCCAGGGCCACCCCTCCGCACAAAAAAAAATGCTCTGTGAAACTAGCTGGCTCTGTTAAGTCCACCCTCCTCCTCCTGTCCCTCCCCAGCAGTTGAACTTGAATATAAGCTTGCATCTCCCTCCCGCTCCATCTCATCTAGAAGGAGCCAGCTAACTGTCAGGTGGCAGAGTCGCAGGGGAGCCAGAGACAGTTTCAGGCTAATGGTAGGGGACAGAGAAAGGTGCAATGCGGGTTCCCCTTCACGAGCTCTGCGAGAGGAGCCAGATGGGATTCGTGTGCCCTCTAGTGGCCACAGATGTCAACTATCCGGTCCCGCAGGGAAGAAAGTGGGGAGTGGGCCAGAGCTAGCACAGACTCTAACATGGTAGAGTTAGTGCTATCCTTTTACCTGTGAAGAAAGAGGGGCTATGAGACAGTTAGAGAACAGGGACAAGCTGAAGACAAGAAGGTGGCTCTCACCCGCTGGCCCACGATTCAGCCCCAGACCTCATGAGAATCTCAGGGGTGCCTGGCTGAGGCCTGAACCTCTCAGCAGTTTAGATGCTCACTACATTCAGGGAAGCATTGGTCAAGGCCAGAGCTGAGAGCCAGATCCTTGGTGCTTCTGGAAATAGGTGGATCCAGCCCCAGGGATGTACCTTTCATTATAACTGCCCACAGTGCTACCGCAACCTCGGATTCGCCACCTCGGATTCACCACCTCGGATTCCAAGGCTACCTCGCCGAGGACACACAACTGCCAGTCACTTTCAGATGAAGTGGAACACAAAGAAATCAAGTGACCAGCCCAACTTTATAAACAGCCAGGATGCAATGAAACTAGAACCTGAATCCATGCCGCCTGCCTCCAGATGGGGCTGAGGTGGGGGTGTTACTGTCCGTTCAAGGGGTCCTAATATGTACACGGCAGCTCCAGCCCCTGGCTCCAGCAGGATCCCCAGCAGACAGTGGTCTCCTAAGAAACTCCACCGTGGGATCTACGACCTTCCCAAAGTCCTATTAAGTACCAGGTCTGAGGTCTAGGTCTCCTGATTTCCAACTCACAGGAAGAAAATAACGGGGTGCAACAACCCAGGATTTGACACAGCTGGGTTCTTTAGGCCCTGGCCATCCACTGTTCTCCCAGGCCAATCCTGCAGAGACCCTGAAACAGGGCTTATCTGCCAAACACTCTCTTCGAAAGACTAGAAGTAAGTTCTTGTTACCCCTCCTTCCCGTCCTAAAGCAATCTATACACTTGTCTTATTCTTGATAAAAAAAAATATTTTTCAAAAGGAAAGGAGGGAGGAGAGGAGATAGAGGGAGGAGAAATTGTTCTCCAATAGCTTCCTGCCTCCTAGGGAAATGTGATGTCTAACCCCACCTGCTCTCCCGTCTTCTCACTCGGATCCTCTTGCCCAGATCTCCTCCCCAGGACAGCCAGAATCAAGCTGTATGCCTGTTCCCTACCTCCAAGACTCCAGTGGCTTACCACTGCTTCTAGGGCAGAGTTCTGACACCTGGGTGTGGCTCCGAGATGGCCTCCTATCTGGGGCCCAGCTGTACATCCCAGCCTCATCTCCTGCCAGACTGGACCCCCCCACCCCCGCATGGGACTCTTGTGACTCCACAGCTCGGGTCTCCTCTTCCCTCACCTCCACCAGGCCTTGTTCAGGCTTTTGCTTTAGGTTGGAGGGTTTGCTCACCCTCCTCCCTGGAGTTCTTCCACATAAACCCCAAACCCCACTCATAGTCATAGGACACAGCTTGGGTGCCATCTTCCCTTGTGTCTGGTCCTCTCCTAGCCAGGTTCCTATTCTTTCCAATGACTTAGGGGCCAAGTGGTAGAATGTCCAAGCCTGGGACTCTAGAGATCTTAATATGATCTCGGGCAGGCTCGTTAAGGTTCTGGTGCTGCAATGTCCTCGTCTGTAATACAGGGGACACTAACCCCTCTGAGGCTTATGAGACTACTAAATGACATGCTTTATGTGTAAAGCCCAGCACAGTACCTGGCACACACCTGTTAGCAAAAGGTGACCTCTAGCATTAGCATGCCCAACATTCTTCTATAATATACCATGCTGAGGTGTTCTTGCTTATGTACCTGTGTGTCTCCCCAGAAGCTCCGTGAACTCCTCCTTGCTACCTCTGAGTCTAGAGAGGCATATAGCACATAGTAAATGCTCAACAAAATTTTGTTGCTGGGGTAGCGGTAGGCAGGGAGGAGGCATTCTCCTCCAAATCTAGGTCCTGACTTTAGCAGCAAATCTGTAGGGTTGAGCTGAAGCCCACACTCTACTCTCTAAGCCCACCAAAATATAACCCAGACCTTGATGACTGGGCCAGTGGCTGAAGAACTGATGGTCTTGAGAAACACCCTGGAGCTTGTTGTGGGAATAGCTGTTTACCACCTTTACAGTCATCCCCATGTAGCCTGCCTCTAACACACTATCCCTCCTAATATCTGTGGTGTCCCTGCATCCCAGTGACCACTGCTACTACAGGCATCCAAGTTCCGTTGCTGAGGGAATGGACTGCCAGCGGCATGCCTTCTCACAGCTTCCGGAAGTTCAAGGTCTCCACTCTCACAGGCCTGTAGAAACACGCACTTCTTCCCGTTACCCCTTGCAGCCCTCATGCGCAGGCCACTGCAGCCAAGGCACCATCTCCCTCAAGCCCAGGCCGGCTGGTCCTCTTGCCAGGGCCCTCGTTCACTGCCATAGACAGCCTCCATCTGACACGAGTCTGTGGCCCATGCCTGTCTTCCACCTTTGGTTTCTTTTTTTTTTTTTTTTTTTATTCAGATCCACTCCCTCTCCCCCCCCCCTTTCTTTTTAGCCTGCACTTGAGACTCTTCACCAATTAATACTAACAGAGCAGTACCACGTCCTGAACGTCGGGGGCAGTAGAACCCAATATTAAAAGAATGTGGTGTGTCACATACAGGGGAGTTCAAATCTCAGCTCCCTCATGCTAGTCACATGATCTGATTGGAGAAGTTACTTAACCTCACTGTGCCTCTGTTTTCACAGAATATACCGCAAGTAACTGTTGTGAGGGAGGGCTTAACAAAATATGCCGTGCCAGGGCTCATGGGAACCGTTCAGAAAGATCTGTCATGGTTGGTTCCTGCTGTGTGTCAAGTCACAAGTTCACCAAGCAAGAGACAGTCTCCAGTCACCCAAGGGAGAAGTAATGCTCAGGGGAGGTAGCATGGTGATGAAGTAAAACACAGCTTTAAACTTAAATCGTCCAGTTCCAAAACACGGACGATGTCAGATCTTTATCTTGTAGGTTACCAGGATTGCTTCACGTCTCTGTTTATCCCTGAGGCCCAATACCCAGCATGAGAGGAAGGGGGGATATACCACCCAGCACACTGAGAAAGGACACAGAGGGTGAGACAGACAGACAGAGACAGACAGACACAGAAAGACAGAAAGAGAAACAGAGAGACAGACATACTGAGAGAGTTTGTAATGGGGAATATTCCCACCTAAGATCCTTAGACTTGACCCTCAGGCACTGAAGACGGAATTTTAAGAGCAAGAATAAAACTGTCTACAAGGCAGGTTTAGAGCCCAGCATGGTGGCACTTGTCTGCAATCCCGTCACCCAGGAAGAGAAAAAGACAGGAGAACCACTGAAAGTTCGAGGCCAGCCAAGACTACAAAGTGAGACCTTATGGAGTGGGAGGTGGGGTGGGGGAGCAGCCTTACAAATAGCCTCCTAATGTACCTGCCTAGTATGAGGTCCTAGGTGTTCAGCTACGAAATTGGCTTTGGGACCGTATGACAGGGTGGTCCGAGAGGCTGGGCTGGACCACTGAGACTGGTTTTAAAGGAACGCTTCATAGGTTCCACTTACAGTTTGCTCCTTTTTCCTGGATCCTGGCCACCTGACCTCATCCATTCCATCTGGTCCACGCCAGGGGTGCCTGCTCCATCAGCAGCTACTCTGATGCCTCTCCTCCCAACTCAGCATCCATCCTCCAGCCTGGTACCCACCTCCTCCCACACACATCCCGACAAATTGGTGGGACAGGCTCAACTTCCTGCCCCCAACTCTCGAGAACGCTCTCTCCTTTAAATCCACCAGATTCCAGGGAACGGGGCTCACAAAAGAGACTTTAAAATAAACCAGCAACTCCTATGAGCTCTCATGGGAAGTAGCTGAAAAATGAAATATAATAATAATAATAATAATAATAATAATAAAAATCCCTGAAGAGACCGCAGAGCAGCCTAGCTCTGCCCCACCCCCACATAGGTCCACTTCAGGGACATCCACAGGAAAAAACACCTCTTGATAAATTTGATCATTTTTATCCCCAAGCAACATTCACCCCCTAGTCATTTCTGGGACCAAGAAACCCAGCATCCGGCAGTCCCAGCAGTCCCAGATCCCCAGCACGCCCCTTCCCAAGGACGCAGAGGGAAGCCTCACACTCCTCCATCCCTCCTGCCCCCTGCCCCCTCCTCTTTCCGCTGCAGCTGCACTTCTGACCCTTAGGAACATGCAGATGTGGTTCTAACTTACCCAAAGAGAAAAAGAGACTGAGCCCCGTGAGACTGAAGGCAGGGCGAGGTAGCCAGGCATCCCTGTGCATTTTCAGAGACTGTGATGTGAGGCGGGTGGGCTGTGGGAAACGGTGATTGAGGGACCAAGGACCACAAGGGAGGAATGGTTAGATGCTAAAAGAGAAAATGCACGGATGTACTTCAAAGACATATGCAACATTAAGGAAGCTTTATTACCATCTCTCTAATATGGCCGACTTGTATGTGGCTGCTAAAAAGAGAGGGGGGTGGTGTGTAAGGGAAAGGGAGAAAAAAAAGGGGATGGAGTAAATATTGTGGTTGGTGGATTTCAGAAAGTAGGTGGGAGGGCATAAAACAGATATTCCTGGAAAAAATTAAGTTGCCAGAAAATTTCGCCTCTAAACTTAGAGCTCAATCTAATCTTGCCTTTCTACTGCATTTGAAATGATTTTCTTTTTTTTATTTTGAGCATTATTAGAGATGTCTAGGTGAGGTGGCACATGCCTGCCATCTTAGCAGTAGGGGACAGAAACGGGACTGCCATGAACTCAAAGCAGTCTGAAGCTAGCCTAGGTTTCAAAGCAAGACCCTTGCAAGAAAAGGGAGGGAGGGAGGGAGAGGAAAGAGAGAGGGAAGGAAGGAGGGAGAGAAAGAAAGTAAAAAATAAAAGAAAGACTATTGGAGCCATCCATGTATAGCAAAGGGCTGTAAGGAAGTCCTTTTTATTGTCTAAGTGCACCCCAAAGGCCAGCGACTTGATTCAGTGGGGGAAGGTGTTGCAGGCACTGCCAAGCCTGATGACCTGAGGTGGATCCCCTGGAACACACCTGGTCATCTGGTAGAAGGAGAGAACTGATCTCTGCAAGTTGTGGGCTAAACTCAACACATATGAGTGGCACCTGTGTTCTCTCTCTCTCTCTCTCTCTCTCTCACACACACACACACACACACACACACACATACATACACACGGGGAGAAAGAGAGAGAATAGATAGATGATAGATAGATAGATAGATAGATAGATAGATGCATACATACATACATACATACATACATACATACATAGATGTAAACACATGCCCAGGAGAGAGTTGCCTTTTGCTCTTTGGGTTCAGCGAAGTGGGCAGGAGGCTTTTGGGAAGTAATGACTTCCTCACTGCTCTAGCATTTCCACAGAAAACAGAACTTGTCAGAGAAGGCTGATATACAAATACCTAAGAGACTGTTACAAGAGAATAGAACGTGGACCTTTGAGGGACTCCAATTCAAACAAAGCCAGCAGGAAAGGAACAGGTTTTGAGACAAGGGGAGCAGGGAGTGAATGTAAACTGGACATTAATTATATCAACAAATAACGTCTAATGTTGCCGGGTATCATAAAGATAGTGTCTGTGTTTTTGACACCCAGTGGGTAACGTCGCTGATGGCCCCAGATAATTGGTGGTGCCTGGGGTACACTTCCCTTGACTTTGGTGTATGTTTGAAACTTGTAATTTCAAAAGAGGGGGAAATACAGGTTGTCACAAATAGAAGAACTTGGGAAAGAAGTGGCCCTAAGCAAAGAGGAGAACAGAGCCAAGTGTATTGCAGGCTCTTATACAGCAATAATTTATGTAGCTCTGCACAGTTATCTGTCCACACGGAGGAATCAGAGTTTGATCTTAACACCGGATCCAATTTACAGGATTCAAACCCAGGTCTTTGGACGACCGCTCTCCCCACCCGGACCCCTTACTCCACATGGTTTATGACCGAGTGAGAAGGGGCACTCCTGAAGGTGATACATTCTAGGAGCAGGTGGTGAAGGAGCCTTCTGCACAGGGAAGAGCTGAGCATTCTGCACAGTGCCTGGCTGAGACTTGAGATTAGCTAACCAGGAGGTGATGGACCACCTAGGGATGCCACTGGAGGGATGAATGTATTTAGAAGTCCATCCCGGTCTCTGAAAGCAGTCCTAGGGGCACAAGACCCAAAGCCAACTGGAGCTTCCAAGGCAGGGCTGTGAGAAGACAGAAAGTGACAAGTCCTGATGGTGCACTGACCCTGTCCCCAGTGCCTCTGACACTGTACTGTAAGGGCTCCCATGGTCCCTGCACAGAGTCACAGTGCAGGAGTCCGAATTTCAGGAGAGTCTCCCCCAGTGCCCATCCCTATCCCCCTAGGGCCCCAGGCCTCTTTTACAGGTGTGTGCTCAGGGGGCTAGACCGGCATCACTCGGACATCCTGCTCGCTCAGTTCAGACTCATTCAGTCAAGTCTGCAGCACCACCAACCAGGCAGCCGCAGACACTTTTCAGCCTAGACCGCTCGCAGAGATTTTTAGTTTAACATAGCCGGCCTCCTCCTTTTTTCTTGATGCTGCCTATGGTGCCTTGTGAGGCCCAGAAACTGAAGGAAACTGCTTTGCTGTCCCACTTGACCCCATGCTATGTCTGAAAGCTTCTATTTAATTGTCAGAGGAGGCAAGAAACAATCCTACGTTCTTCTGCTTCTCCCTAGAATTTGGCTAAGAGTCACTGAAGTATTCAGACTTCAAAGAGCCTTGGGCCAGCTCAGACTTCCAGGATCAAGGACCAGTAGTAGCCAGATCAGGGACCAGGCGATAGGGGCTATGTCAGACCCTCCCATAGTCCACTGGGGCCCCAGTAGTCAGTCACCTGTTGCAAGGGGACAAGCCTCCCCTGAGAGCCAATACGAATCCAGGAAGCAGAAACTCAGAGGTGTTTTGCAGACAGATGACACTATAATCAAAGATGGGCTTTTTTTTTTTTTTTTTTTGGAAGTGAAGCCCTGTGGTTTTGGCATTTCTGCCAGGTGCCATTTATCACTGAAGATTTTATTGGACAGCATTCAATTACCTACCCTGCTGGGAGACGTCAACTTAGAAATAATCCAAACGAAGGCAATTTCCTTTTGCCTACAAGTGCGTAGTCCAGGCTACAGGCTTTCGCCTGAGAAACTTTTTTTTTTAAAGTACGATCCCCGCGCTGGTCTCTATGGTGCCACTTGGGAACTGGTTAGGAACGTAGAGTCATGGCCCTCATGCCAAGCTCGAGAAGTCAAAAGCTTGTTTTACAAGACCCCTCTAGGAAACTCTTAGGCGTTAAAGTTTTCAACTTGACGAGTTTGCAAGCAGCAATGGAAGCCATGTTTGGGGGTTTGGCAAATAGAGAATGATACACAGGAACAAGCTTCCGTTCTCTGCCATTCTCGGTGGATCCGTAGAGCCGTACGCGCTTCCAGTCAACAGTATCCTCGGTGAATCTCTAGAGCACGTGGCAACTTGTGGGGTCCAAGGTAGGGATCCATTTTACTGACTCGCTTTGTTGCCCTCTTCCTTCACAAGCCAGTCCATATCAGGTGAGAGGGTTATTTTGGACCCCACACAGCACATACATCTCTGCCTTGGCAGTTTCTTAGGGATACCCTTCCTTTTCCTGAATATTCTGTAAACTCATAGTCTCAAAAATCTACTCTAAAGCTGGAGGCATGGCTCAGTGGTAGAGTTTAGCATGCTCCATGCCATGAGTACAGTTCACAGTGCACATTCATCTTACACACACACACACACACACACACACACACCTGCCCCAAAGCCACCTACTCCTGATCGCTCAATTGCCTCTTCGTTCTGTGCTCTTGTGACTCTGGGCACATTCACTCACTCAGCACACTCAGGTATTCTAATCCCCCATTATCCACAGAAGATGCAGTCTAGGAGCCCCAGTGGGACCCTGAGACAGTGGATAGCACCAACCACTTCTGTTCCTAGATAGAAAATCTGACACCAGAGCTAGTAAGTGACTCATGAGGAGATGGCTCATGGGATGAGTCCACTGGACAAAGAAAAGTGGTACATGCCTAGCCTGAGGAGAAGCAGGAAGGCACATGATTTCAGCTTACAACTCAGCTTAAAATTTATTAAATGGAAAGCTCCATAAGTAAGCAACATATGTCTTCAGACTACAGCTACCATTCCTGACTGAAACCATGGAAAAGAAAGGGTCCTGTGGGGCTACTGCATCTCTGTAACAGACCTATGTGCTAGACGCTGGCTGAAACTGGAGACCCGGAAGTAAATCAGATACATCTGCCTTTGAGAAAGTCTGTTCTAGACAGGGAGATAAAGATGCCAAGGCACAGTCGAGCATGCGTGCCTTCTGATCCACTGGGGGTACAATAGCAACATTGTTACTGATATTGTTGCGGTCTCTGAGCTAACAGGAATATGGCTAGCATGTATCCACACAACTGACACTCCTCCCCACCCCCAGCTAGATGGTAGTGCTTTGAGGATGCCTTGGGTGTCTGCTGATCCCTGAGCTGATGAGAATTAGTGGCTATCTATGAATATATTTGGGAAAAGTGTAGAGATTCACCAGACTGACTAACCAACTAGGTTCCCATGCAGGCTGCTCTATTTCCTAGGCATTCTGTCAAAAAAGAATTGACCTATATAGAATTGGAGACGAAAGGATCACAGGGAAAAGGCCTGAAGCAGATTGTCTAAGAGCCTCAAATCTCTGAGAGAAGATGAAGTGTCACATGAAAGAGAGGGCAAGATCAGAATCTTATTAATTGTAAAAATATCTTGGAAGATGTTGAAGAACTGGATCACCCAGATGAGACTCAAACAGAGGCCGGAAGGAATATGGATTTGGGCAGCAGAGTTGGCAGCGAGTACAGCAGTCAGGAATGCAAAAGGAGAAAGGCTTGAAGGCAGAAGGGCAGATGATCACAGCACACCCCTGTTTGCTTGTTTGTTTGTTTGTTTGTTTAAGGAGAGTGGCACAGTGGTTCAGCACAGACAAGAGAGGGCCAGAACCCAGAGACCACAAACACACATTCTGATGAGTCTTTGAAAGTTCCAGAACCTTCTGTTCTTATTTTGGAACAGGTCCATAACCATTATTCCGGGCATTATGAGAAAGATCTTGGCTTTGTGGGAAAACACTAAGTTCCCTTATTTTTTTTTCTTTGTTGGAAGAAGAAAAGTACTGTGACTCTGGTTTTACAGAAGTGGTCACAGATTGCCTGACCTCCCTGGAAGAAACTCCAACCGCAACTGCAAACCAGCTGGCCAGCTCAGCAGTCCTGAGAAATGGGTTCTCTAGACTAGGAAGAAGGCTACTGCTCTGAGTTAGAATACAATGTACATAAAATCTAAGGCTCTTTGGCTCTAAGAAACTAAGTGTCAGCATAATAACACACACACACACAAACTTTTTTTTAAAATAAAAGGATATTTAAAAAAAAAAAAAAGACTGGCTAGCATCACATAAAAAGCCAAAGAACCAGTCCGTTACTGAATGGTAAGAAATGGAGCAATGAATCAAATTGGGCAAACAAACTTAACAGGGTTAGAAGGCTAAACCCAGGCACAACAGCCTAAGCTACTTCATTTAGTCACCAGTGGGAAAATCCTAGACTGGAGCGATGACTCACTGGGCAAAGACACGTGTTGCTAAGCCTGACAACCTAAGTCTCCTGGTTACATTTCTGTCAACTTGACACGACTCGGGTCACCTAGGATGATCTAGTGACAAGAAAGAACATCCTCTCCCTCAGTGCTAAGCAATGGTAAGTTGCCACAGCCAACCGCGAGATTGCAACCAAGTAGGGAGCCCCCAAGCCTCTATAGTGTGATGCTGGTAAGCTGAGATGCAGTACAGGTTAAAGCATTCGATGCATTTTGAACTTAGGATATTTTTACTTCATGATCTCTGCAACCCTTTCTAAGGGAAATTTATATGGGAAAGAGCATTTATATAGAAAAAATAGGCACCAAGAGCATTCACATAAATGTTTTGGTATGAAAAAAGTAAGAGGCTGGACCAGGGCTTGAACACAGCCACTTAAATTCAAAGCCTTCTTCCTACATGTCTACCTGCATCTGCATAATGCTGGATTAATACACACACACACACACACATTCTCTTTCTCTCTCTCTCTCTCTCTCTCTCTCTCTCTCTTTCTCTCTCTCTCTCTAGAAGAAGGCCATGGGATAGCAAGCAAGCAGATTTTCCCTGTGGTCTCCTGAAGTATTAATATTTGATAGCTGTGGTTCTACCTCAATTTTGAAATATAAAAGGAAAGTTTTCAAGGAGCTAGAGATGGGATTGAGATATAGTTTTGCCCTTCCTCCTCAGTTCTAGCTACCGAGCCCAGAATGGGAGCCAAATGGAATGATCCAAGTTCAAAGCTGAACATCCCAAAGCTTCCAGACTGTGCTTTCTGAGGACCGAGCTGCCCCAACCCATTCTTAAGCTTCTAACCCAATTAGTTTCAAACCCAGAACAATAATGTGAAATCACCATCCATCCACCTGACTCTGTATCCTGAAGGTCATACAGAAGGCCATTCTATAGCACACACGCACTGTTTAAGGAAGTAGAAATGGGCAACTTAGCCCAAGCAAGAATTTAACTCCTTAGCCACAAATGAAGTCTCTTCCCCTGGGAGTGCCTCAGTGATGGGAAGGCCTAGTCTCTGATACGTCCTAGATAGGATACCGCCTCCAACACAATCTTTGTTTAGCCTTAACAGATGCTTTCTGTGGCCCCCAAAGAACAAAGAAGAGAAATTTAGTGACTCTTTTCTGTGGTTCACCACGAGCAAACAGAATAAATTTACAACAACCATGTCATGTTTGAAGAGTTTGGGGAATCATTTAAAAATGTAGGCCTACTTAAGAATGAATCAAAAATGAGAGATCCAAGCTACTGTAGTGGGTTTAATCCCAGCACCCCGAGGCTGAGGCAGAAAGACCACACATGAGTTCTAAGTTAGCCTGGGCTACATAGCAATACTCTATCTCCTTCCTGTCCTCTTTTTTTTTGTCTTAACTTTTTATTGTTTTAAATTTTTTTATTTTATGTTTATGAGCGCTTTGTTTTATATATATGTCTGTGTGTGTGTGTGTGTGTGTGTGTGTGTGTGTGTGTGCATTGCATGCTTGCCTGGTGCTCACAGGGGCCAAAAGAATGTGCTAGTGCTAGAGGTACACATAGTTGGGCGCTGCTCTGTGTGTAATGTGAACTGAATCCAGGTCCTCTGTAAGAACAGCAAGTGCCCTTAACCACTGAACTATCTAACTAGCGATCTCTAGCCTGAATATGGTTTTAACAACTCACTGAGTCCGACTAGCGCTGTTCCTATCCAGTGATCCACATTTGGTGTGCAGTCATCCCCTCGAGATATGGGTAACCCATCCATCACCACACTCTCCAAACAGCTCCCCAGCTAGGAGTGGGACCTCGTGGACTCCTCCCCCGGTAGTTGACTAGCTCTCCACAGCTGCTGTCGAGTCTAGAGGACAGTTTACAGCACTGCTCTGCATCCCATAGCAATTCCTGCCCCCTCCAGCAGTGCTCCCTGCTCCCCTGATCAAGTGCTCCCTGCCCCCAGCAGTGCTCCCTGCCTCCAGCAGTGCTCCCTGCCCCCAGCAGTGCTCCCTGCCCCCTAGCAGTGCTCCCTGCCCCCTCCAGCAGTGCTCCCTGCTCCCCTGATCAGTGCTCCCTGCCCCCAGCAGTGCTCCCTGCCCCCAGCAGTGCTCCCTGCCCCCTCCAGCAGTGCTCCCTAAGCCTTGGCAGCCTGGATATAGACATCCCGATTAGGGCTTAGCCCTCAGCAACACTTATTTTCAGTGCTTTGACCACTTACGACTCTGTATCAACTATTGCACACTACAAAAAGAAGCCTCTCTGGCCAAGGCTGACAGCACCCCTTGTCCATTAGTAGACATACATATTTAGAAAGTAGTTTCACAACACAAACCTTTACCAAAACAATAGAAGCAGTCCCCGCCCCATTCCAGAACCTAGGATCTCCCCAGCTATAGACTTTTGGCCAGGTTTTCAGTATCGGGCATGTGACCTGTGGAGTAGGTCTCAAATTCAATCAGATTGGTTGGTTATCCCAATAAAAGTCATGTAACTATTGTCTAGAAGGTTCAGAGTGTATCAGTGCATGGTCCAGCAATAGGTAAGAACATGTATGCTGCCCCCTCAATGGTCTCCATAGCAACCTCTGGCACTATGAAAGCTAGCCAACAAGAATGATTTCCTGTTGACTCCAGGCTGACTTCTCTGTGTTTACCAAAGTGTATGGTGTCTCCAGCGACAGATCTTACCACTGAGTTATGGGCAATATTCTGTCTCAAACAAGCAAAGAAATCAGTGACCCAAGGACTAGGCCGGTGTATCTCAATAATAGAGCATTTGCATTGGTATAAACAAGACTCCAAATTGAGTCCCCAGTAAATCAGAGGAAGGGAAGGACTTAGAGAAGACTTTTATTGGCCCCGAATGGGCAATGAGGAGAAAGATCCAGAGAATGAGGAGAGATTGGTGACAGTTAAGGAAAGGTGACCAGAACTGGAGTCCCCGCTGACCCCTCTGAGCCGTAAGTCAAGATTAAGAAAAACAAGATTTTTAAGACCAACACTTTCATTTAGTTTTTATTGAACATTTTAAAAAATGTTATGAGTATGGGTGTTTTGCCTATATGTATGTCCATGTACCATGTGCATGCAATGGACCACAGAAGCCAGATGAAGGTGTCGGCTCCCTTGGAACTGGAGTTGCAAACAGTTACGAGCCACCATGTGGATGCTGAGCATCGAACCCCAGTCCTCTGCAAGAGCAGCCAGTTCTCTTAACTGCTGAGCTATCTCTCCAGCACCACTCCCATTTAAAAAAAAATTTTAAATAAGATCAACCCTTTTAAATCTCATGATAACAACGAAAAGTATAGGAATCTCATATTTCAGACCAAGAATTCAATCACTGGCCATTGCTTTGGCAAGCCTGTTCAACACTTTTGAAAAAGTTGGCTGTCCAAAATCCATAGACCTAGCTTCCCAGCATGAGGAAATCCCAGAGCTGTTTTCATACCCCACGTCTAACATGTTACCCCTAAACCTTCCCCCAGAACCAAACCAGTCCCCGGATGTTGAATCCACTGTGGCTCTCCTCAAAGGACACTTTCTCAGGAGTTCCATGCTTCAAATTTCCCCACTTGCCCTTCATCTGGGACATAAAAAAAAAGATGATTCCCACAGACCACACTTATTTGGGGATAATTCATCAAAAGAATTGTTTTTGATGGTTTATATCTCTGTATGTCTCTTAGGAGCTCATCTACAAAAATAAACAAACAAATAAGCAAGCAAACCACTGTTCACATGATAGATACAGTCCAGTGGAGTGCTTGAAAGCACAAGGTAGATCAGGCAGCTCCCCAGGAAGCACACCACTTCTGGGAGAAGTCTTCGGTCTCTCTCCCCTCATCACTGCCTGGTTATCTGGAGCAGTTCAGTCTTCCTGCTGGACTCCAAACCCTCCATCTTTAGGCCTTTGATGGAAGCCAAGACCAACTAGAAAGCACAAGTCTAAAATAGCTGGCACAGTGGCCCCAAGGACCACCAAATAGTCTCTCCTTTCTTCTTAGAAAGTTTGCTCTGTTTGGGGAATTCCCCAAGTTCTTTTTTTTTTTCTCAACCACATTACTTGGATCTGACTGAAGAGAGGGCCAAGTTGGATGCTCTGGGGGAAGAAGGCCAAACTGGATGCTGTGGAGGAAAAAAAAACACACACACACACATTTGTACACAGTTAGGGGCTGGGAATGAAGCTCACTGTGGAATATTTGTCTAGCATGTGGAAAGCCCTGGGTTCAATTCCCCATCATTGAAAAAAAAAGTCAAAAAAATAATGATAGCAGCCTTTCATTGTGATTTTCCTTATATGTTGGATAAAATACTAAATTCTACATACATCGACTCATTTGGTCCTCACTCCCATAAAACAGGGTCTCATGTGGCCCAGGCTAGCCTCAACCTCACTATATAGCAGAGAGTGACCTTGAAGTCTAAGATGAAAAGCAAGTATGCTCCCTGCCTCTAACCATCACCTGCTAAGTTACAGAGGCAGGATTTAGATCCAACCATCCAACTCCAAAGGCCATGTGATTTGGTGTTATAATGTGATATCTAATTAAAAAAAAAAGTCTGCACATGCTATTTATAGACATTTCCCAAATACTTTCAATCTGTGTTTGGCTGAATCCATGGATTCTGGAAACAAAGAAACAGACTACATTAAAGCAATTTAATCAGGTCAACAGCAACAAAACGACGGGCTCGTTACTGTCATTGTCTATCAAAGAACACCTCTGCTGGTACAGTTTCTAATAAGAGCCTGTAGCCCAGAGTTTGGCGGTAGGTAGGAGAGTGTGTGTGTGTGTGTGTGTGTGTGTGTGTGTGTGTGTGTGTTTGCACAAACCTATATACAGGGACCTGAAAAAGATATGGGACTGGCCCTTGGAGCTGGAGACGCAGGCGTTTGCAGGGCTCTCACCTTATTATGCGGTGCTAGGATCTGAACCCTGATCCTCATAATTGCAGAGCAAGAACTCCTAATTGCTTAGACATCTGCCAGCCTTTTGTGGCCTAGAACCCTAAGATCCACCTGCTTCTGATTGGGATTAAAGTCCTGTGCCACCACACCTGGCATAGGTTTCTTTCTTTTAAAGATTTAAAGATTTTCTTTTTAAAAATTATATATACATATATATAATTTATATATAAATATATATATGATGTAGGGGAGGAGTGACATTGCCCACAGAGTCCAAAGGTGTCAGGTCCCCCTGGAACTGGAGCTACAGACACTTATGAACTGATTAACATGACCTTTGAGATGCAAACTTAGGTCATCTGCAAGAACAGTATGGACTCTTAACTGCTGAGCCAGTTCTCCAGCCCTGGACATAGCGTTTCTAAGTAACTTGGCCAGCCCTGAAGGCCTCTGTGTCTGTAGCCTGGGCCTTACCTCACCCATACTTTAGCAGACCTGAGGCATCAAGTGGACAAGGACATCAAGGGGACAGAGGTATCGTTTTTTCCTTGCACAGCATGTGGGTATCTGGGAAGGGCTCTGACGTACCTCCACTCCAAGACATTCTAGAGACTGTGTTTGTAGGTGATGTTCCTACCAATAGCTGTGGCAGCGGGTCTCTAAAAGCCAGGATACGGTCTGCCCTGTTGCTGGACTATCACATGGTAATAATGGAAGAAGGATGTAGAGGAGAATGGATCTATTCATCCATGACTTCAGAAGGGCTAATGTTTTACTTAATGGAACAGGGCCAGACCTCTGTTCTCACAACGCCTAGGCAGAACTTTCTCCACTGCCGTCAGCTGGGAATCATGTGTCCTCTGTGCAGCATGACAAGAGCTTGTGTTTACAAGCCCATCCTTCCACATGCTTGGGAGGCCTGCCTTCCTGAACTCAACAGAACACAGTTCCATCACAAGGTGGGGAATCCCTAATTGGTCTACAAATTAACATGGTGCCACTGTGATCCAATTCCTTTGTCCCTGCCCCTACAAACTGCACAGCAGGAGCCTTTCTGGGTGCTTTTCTTCTCTGAGTTCTCTGAGTCCAATAAGACTCAGACTCTATCCTATCTTCTGAAATGCAGCCTGCACGGCAGTTAGAGTGTGAGAAGCTAATAGCAAAGTTCAAAATACATAAAGCCAATGGCCAAAAGGGATCCTACGTTTACCTTTTGAAATACTTAGGTATGTGTATATGTATGTGCACATGTGTACTTGTGTGTGTGCATGCATGTATGTATGTATGTATGTATGTATGCATGTATGCATGTGTACTTGTGTGTGCATGTATGCATATGTGCATGTGCATTTGTGTGCATGTATGTATGTGTGCATGTGCATTTGTATGCATGTATGTATGTATGTATGTATGTACTGTGCATGTACATTTGTGTGTATGCATGTATGTATGTGTACATGTGCATTTGTGTGTGTGCATGCATGGATGTGTTTTTTGTGCATGGATTTGAATGTGTGTGCATGAGTACAGGCACATCACATAGTGGTGTGCATCTGGAGATCAGAAGGCAACCATGGGTATCAGTTCTTGCCTTCCACCTTGTTCGACACAGGGTCTCCTTGTTTGTTGTCGCCTATAGTAGGCTGTGTTCCCAACTCTCATCTTGCCACAAGAATGCTGGGATTACAGATGGGCGCGCTGACAGCTTTTTATGGGTAAAACTCAAAGCAAGCTCCTCTTGCTTGAACAGCAAGCACTTTACCAAGTCATCTCCCTAGCCCTCCACACACATTTTAAGATAGGGTCTCATGTAGGCCAGGTTGACTTAAACTGGGTTTGCAGCTGAGAATGACCCTGATTCCTTATCCCCCTGCCTCTGCCTCCTTAGTGCTGGGATTATAGGTATGTAGTACCAGAGCTGACTTACACAATGCTGGGGAACCAAGCCCAGGGCTTCATGCTTGGGAGGAAGTACTCTATAACCTGAACTACATCCCTAACCCCTACTCTTACCTCTTACTCTCCTGCGAGTCTTGTCCAGTGACCTAAGATACTTTATTACATCTAGTTTAGCCAGAGCTGTGCGCAGGGGAAGGCTACTGTACTGGTGCTCTCTATTGGTGACATTAGTCCTGAGCAGGGTTTCTTCTCCCTGTTTCCTGCTGCTTGGGGAAAAAAAAAAACTCTACAAACAACCTCTCCAGATGGCCTCACCATTCCTGCCACCCTGCCCAGAGCCTGGGGTGTCCTCCCCAACACCTCCTCCCATTCCAGAAACCTGGCTCAGCTAGGACTCAGAAGAGTTCTCACCATGGTCATGTAGGTGGCCTCTGACTCTCCGATTGGTCCTCTCTCTACCGTCTCCCACGTAGTTATGGAGGAGTAGACATGTTTCTAGGGTGGAGAGAATACAAAAGTTCCTAAGTGTCGTCCTGGAAGGAGAGCAGCTACTCCTGTTCACCGGGCCTCAGCTACCAAAGCAAAAAAAAACAAAACAAAACCAACAACAAAACCAAAACCAGGAGAGCTACAGAATTATTAACAGTGACCATTCGGGCTTCAGACTTTTTGAACTAATTCACCAGCAAAGGGCACCAACTTCAAAAACCAAACATCTTTGCATCTCTAGGTATTGGCTTGGCAGTAGCGGGAGCACCTTCATCCTTCAGAATAGCTTATAGGCTGTGGCCACTTCCTTCTGATTAGCCACGGCAAGTTGAGGTTAATTATGAGCTAGCCGTTATCATCTCTCAGAGAGTTGATATGGCGAGAACGGCCCTCCTTGAGCCTCACAGCTGTGAGAGCTGAGGACTGTGATTCCCATCCTGTCGCTCTTAGGGAAAAAAAGACAGACACATTCTCAGGCTTCTAAGGACTGAACCAGGTTGAACAAAAATCCTACTCTTGGGACAAAAGCAACCCAAAACTCAGGAAGCCAACTGATCAAAGAGAAGTGTCTGAAAGTTAAAAGGAGGGGGGGGAAAGGAGAGAAAGCCAGGTGGTGGGGGGAAAGGAAGGGGGGGATATTGGAGCTCAGGGAAATTAACTAATCTCTCTCAGCTCCTGTTTATAACCCCACTTCAAAGCCCTGTGGAGGCGGAAGTCCATCTCAATCTCTTCTAAGGGTTCCTGAACACCTGTTCTTAATCAGTAAGTTCGTAGCTCATGAAGGTAGCAGAGCCTTCTGATCTCAAGTTCAGAGCTCTTTCCTATACCTACCCCAGGATCTGCTGCCCACAGCTCATCTAGCCCAGGCTACCCCACCCCAGCCTCAGAGGCGGTGGTTAAGGCTTCCCAGGTCACCGCTGTGCACAGAGCCATGGTCTATAAGCTGAAAGCTGAGACTGATGGGTAAGACACAGTTCCCAAGTGACAGCCTCCACCCTATCCCTCCCCAGTGCTTCCTGCTACAGTGTGTGTGCATCTGTGTCCCCCTCAGAGGGCTGGTTCTTCTCTCACCTCTGGTTTAGTCTTCTCTCTGTTCTCCAGGTTCTTCACAGAAGCCATAGAGCTTACTGAACTGTAAGGCATGAGAAGCACACGGAGTTAACTTCTGAACCTCACACGGTATGCTGATTCAAGTGCGCCTAGAAAGAACGCTACACTGAATGGGACTTCAGCTTCCAGTGCGACACCTACATTACATAGGACCCTTGCATCTCTTTATGGAGAGATTCTTGGGAGGGACTAAATTCACAAGAGCAGCTCTTCTGGTGGGAAACGGGAAACCCTTCCGGGAATGGTTTGGCTGAAATGTGACTTCTGTTTTCACACTAGCGTGGCTGGGCACAATGGCATCTGAAGTCCCAGCTACTCCTGAAGCTACCCTGCCCTGTCCCCCATCCCACCTCACCCCACCCCACCAGGTTGTGTGCACTGACCCTTCCTAATCAGACTTTGATCTCTTGGCCAGTTACCTCATGTGTTTGTCATTAACTTTATGGGTTTTTTTTTTCTGTTTTGCTCTAAGGCAGAATTTTTTTTAAGTATAAGCATGAAAATAAAGCATGATCGTAATGTTTTTAAGTGAATTAAATACTGCGGGTTCCCAAGTGGTCCTCTTACCGGACAGATCCGTATCTTCCTTGTCTAATAACTCCTCAGAACTATCCCTCGGAACCTCCGTCAATGACAGTGTAAGTAACTCTCAGACAGGACATGCTCAGCCCAGAGGCTTCTGATACGAACATTGTATTACTTCCTTCCTGTAATTCAGATCCTACCGCGCATCTCCCCTTACAACCTTCTTGACTACTATCCCATGCCATTCCATGCTGGCTTGTAATGTAACGGTATATTCAATAGAATACTCGTCCATCCAATCATTTACCCTTCTGAAAACGGCTTTAGTCACAATGTCTCCAGATTTTTATTAGTAGCGAAGTTACCGTGACTGTATTTATGTGGGAATCTCGGGATAACGATGTTTCTTTAGAAGGAACTAGCTTTCCTTAACACTGAAGACCACAGTACAGGCATAAATTGTGAGTGGAAACTACACGGTCTCTTGGTCTTTTGCTCAAATGTAACATGTCTAGAGAGACGACCCTTGTTTGACCTTAGAGCAAGTTCAGAGCTAAATCAGACTGCTCTGGGAGTAGGGGACGGACTTAGCAGGCACAATTGCTTTCTTTAGAACGTACGCTCCCCTGGGAAAAGCCACTCAGGTATCAGTGCTGTGAGGCTGGAGGTGCTGTGACTTGGTGGAAGAAAGCTAGTCTAGAATGTTCAAGACACAGGGTTCAATCCCCAGCACTGGAGGGGGAAAAAAGCCAGTCATCCTTGGTCTTCATGGGGTCTTTCCCACTGCTGTGATTTCAGCTGGGACATTAGCTTAAGCCATCAGCATATTTCATTAATATTCTGTAAACTGAAGAGCTGCCAATAATCAGTAAAATTCTAGCATCTGTGCCCTGGTGTTTAGACATTTCTGAGTCTTGGAGAGCGAGTGTTGAAATTCAGTTAAATAACACAAGCCAGACACCTGCAATGCCAGCAAGTGAGTGAGTGAGGTAGGAGGGGCGTAAGTTCAAAGCCAGCCTGGGGTACATAGGGATTTCCTGTCTCATTCTCCTTCTCAGTTAATAATTTCTACGAAGTACCTGGGTACTGCCACACCTTGGGAATAAGGTTTATAAATGAATTGTGTTCCACTTAAGCCTCCACTTGTGAGGGAGTTGATAAACTTTGCATAACAGCAAGGAGGATGAGCATGGTGTGGTGACATTCAAGCCTTTCTGAAGGGTGGTACGAAGGGGACAGAGCCACCTACAATGGCATCAAATATAATGACCAATGTAATATCCCAGGGTGCTGGCACTCTCTTCCACTTTGGATTAGATAGGATCAGGCTCAGCTAGGGTGATGTGGCTACTCTTCCACGATAGTTTAGAGGCAGTGTACACACTCAGTCTCCTAACTGAATGGGGGGACAGTCACGTACCCCTTATTCCACCTGGTTTTCTTCACAATTAATATCAAAACCGGAAGCAGCAGGAGAGTGGCACAGACGATCCCCACAATGATCACCAGCTGATTCCCGTCCAGGATCCCCAGCTGACTCCCCTTAGGTGAATTAGTTGGTGAAAATGACCCTTGGGAAAGGGAGAGAGCATTGGGAGGGTATTAGTATTCTAGAAAAGAACAGAGAGCCCCCCTACCTTATGCCAAGCAGCAGTAGCCAGGCCAGGAAGCAGAGGGAGAAAGCCAGGCCACATCTCATATCAGGACCCTGGGACAGCATCTCCATTAGACTAAGAATCAGCCCAATATTCTTTGCCCTAACATGTGGGTTAAAGTTGCCAGGAGAAACAGCTGCCTTCGGCTATGCTAGAGCTCCCTTTACATCACTAACACTATGTTAAAATTCGGTTTACCAAGTGACTAAAAATAACAGGCATTTTCAAGGCCACTGACATTTTTATGGGCAAATAATTGTTTTAGAAAGAGCATAAGCTATAATATCCAGCTGTATAGTCACAATGCTATATAAAGCTTCAGGGTATTCTACCGGTATAGTGTCCTTCACTCTGTTTATTCTAAAGACATATATCAGCATGTCTTTGTCACCAGAGATCTCTAGGCATAGAGGATGCCTACAAAGACAATTGATGCCCAGTTCCTGTCTTCCAGGAGGGAGACAAACACAAAAGCAGAAATCTAGAAGCTTCTACATGCACGACAACAGATGTCTGTATCAGAAACAGAAGGGCATGGAAAAGGGGGTGCGTAAGTTCTGTGCAGAGCACGGGAAGAGACATTTGCCAGCAAGTGTTAAATTTTAATGTGAATTTAAGAAGAAACATTCAATTTGTTGGGCTGATGAAAATATGGAGAAAGGGTGAGAAGACATCATGCTTAGGGCTTGGTGGCCTGACAGAGTGTTTTGAGGGAGTCTGGAAGGAGCCCCCACAAGTGCTGTTCAAAGGCTAAAGCTGAGGATGTGGCAGGAACTGGAGAAGCAATGGGGTCCAAATCAGGAAGGAGCTTCATCACCTCAGCAAAGAGTTTGTCTTTTTTTTTGTTTTGTTTTGTTTTGTTTTGTTTTTTTGCCATAAGTCATGGAGAAGTCAATTCAAGTTGGATCTATAAGTGGTGGAATGCAATCTCTGCCTTGTGACTTAGATGGATGGCCCTGGCTAACAATGACAGCAGGGACTGGTTAAAGGCTAGTCTAATAGAGGAGAAAACAGCCAAGACTAAGGTTGGTGAAGGCCTGGAAGGAAGGTGGCCTCAAAATCAGCAATAGAAATGACAGGACATACTCATCTGTTAGGTTAGGAAAGGAAAAGATGAAGGGCCACTCCCTGGCATCCAGTTACATAACCACACCCATGATGGTGGGATTAACCAATGCTGGGGACACCGGACGAGGGAGAGGCATGCATATTTGAAGGACCTGTGGAAACTGGTGGAGATGAAATATATACATGCATAGAACCCCTACCATCCCCAAACCAGCCCTTCTCTCCTTCATCTCTGTGCCCTCATCCTTGGATTCAACCAACTGTGGATTGAAGATCACCATGGAGCAGAACTGTCATCTGCCTCAGGATGGTGTGTGGAGACAAGAATGGGGTGGAGATGTGTCTACGGGTGGGTGGCCTCAAAAGAAGGTGAGCCCCCACGCCCCACCTTAGTGTGCTATCTCTGTGGAGTGGAAGGCAGGCTTGTGAGAACAGAACACATATAGGAAAAGAAGAAATTAGCACCAATCTAGAGGTGTTCTTTAGTATACAGGAGGCTTTGTATCTGTTATAAACAATTGCCATTTTTTAATATGGCGTTTTTATATAAGGAGTTTAGGCATCCACAGATTTTGGCATTTTCAATGGAGGAGAAAGTTCTGGAACCAAATTTCTTCAGATATCAGGACACTTACATGGCTGTTTATACACATTCGTGGCCATCTAACTGCTTTCAATACTGAATGTAGGTTATACACAGTGTCTAATATCACTACGGTGAAGACGGCTGGGGACAGATGATCTGCAGGCCACTGGTGATTTAAACTAGAGTGGGCTCAGCAACCTGAGTGAAAACAGAACTATCGAAGGGTGAGAGTTGACGTGGGGCGCTGGCAGGAGAAGGAACTGAGTTGAGCAAGACTGGACGAGAAAGGGAGAAAGTGTGGGGTCAAAGAGCCAAGCCTGGGGGATCCCCAGTGAATGAGGGAATGACACCAGAGCGCAGGGAGTAGCAGCACCCAGGGCCGGAAGGAACTCATCTGCCTCAGGATGGTGTGTGGAGACAAGAATGGGTTATAGAGGTGTCTATGGGTGGGGCAGCCTCAGAAGGAGGTGAGCCCCCATGACCCACCTTGGTGTGCTTTCTCTATGGAGTCAAAGGCAGGCTTGTGAGAACACAGCACATATAGGAATGAAGAAATGTCTTGAAGAAACCCATCTGTCCTGCTTCCCGCTTCAGCTGGGACCATTTGGCACTGACAAGAAGGTGTCTCTGGCCTGAAGCACTGAAGCACCTCCTTTTCTAGTCATCTCCCTCAACTCTGAGCCGACCACAGCCAGCTCCTTCAGGCCCCAGTAAGGGGGAAAGTCTGCAGCCCACATCCTGACTGCTAACAGAGTTAAGATTTAACTTTAGCCTTGCACAATCTGCCTCTGTCAATACAATTACGCCTTCCTTCTCCTTGGTGCACACTGTTTGCCAGAACGTAAACCCTTTCATCAGAAACCCCTGTTTCTCCTTCTGGAACATTCCTATTTTCTCTCTGTCGCTTGCTGTCTCTCACAGTTTAGGGTTAGTCTCCCTTCACGCGGATGTCCAACTCAACTCCTCAAAGCCAAGCAAACTTGACTTGGGATCTCTACTCTCCTACACTCCAAATTCCCATGTCCTTACAGCAATGGACTACGCTGGCCATGGGTGGGGTTTGGCGAAGACTTGGTGCTCATTGTATGTTAGCTCATTGTATGTTAGGCCTCCTTTCCAGGCCTAACAGCATGCAGAAACAGAGCAAGGAGAGCCCAAGCATCTGGTGAGCCAGGTTGATGGAAGCTCACTCTCAGGATTGTGCAAATCCAAGGCTAGCCCCTGGGAGCAGTGCCTCCTTCCACTGCGCATGCCTGGGGCCTCCCTCCACTGAGCATGCCTAACTCAGTCCAGCTACCGCGCTGCTGCCATGCGTGGAACCTCAGCCCTCTTCACCCAAATATTAATTACTTTGAGATTCGTCCTGGGTCACATGCAGCACAATGGTTTTCCTGGACTCCAGCTTTCCCAGGTAGATGCTGCAAGTGTAGACTCCTTGGTCAGACTCCTTCACTGTTCGAAGCATGATAGAGGCATCGTTGCGGGAGATGTCACCTGTTAGGTCTACACGGTTGTGGAAGCGGCCCAGGCTCTGGAAGTTTCCACTAGGCATGTTGAAATCATAGGACAAGACAGTCTCCTCCTACAAGGAAGGGTCAAACGCATGAGGCTGGGGAAGGACTGTGGGGGAGACTTCGCAGCTGACAAGACTCTGCCATGCAAGGGCAGAAGAAAGCGTTAGATAACCCAAAGTCCTGTTTGTTTAAGTTTGGCCCTGGTTCTTCCTCCCAGCCCCATGCTCCCAGAAATAAGACTCGGACTCAAAATATATTTACAAACACCTTGGCCATATAGCTAGGCTCTTCTCTGACTAGATATAACTTAACATTTATTCTAGCTTACATTCTGTCATGGCTGGTTATCCGTGCTCAGGTACCATGCATCTGTCTTGTCACATTTTCCTGGCGACTCCGACTCCCCCACCTGACTCTATCCCAGAATCCTTTCTCTCTCTGGATGTCCCACCTCCCATTTCCTGCCAAAGCCATAAGCCATAGGCCTTTTAATTGACAGGTGATCCATTCATATAATACAGAAGATATTCTTGCTATACATGTTCATATGCACATACACAACACGTGTGTACTGGTGAGCACAACACCAAACCATAAACAACTGTTTCATCAGAAGAGGTGGGCTTTAAAGGGGTCAGTGGCTCCAGTCCTGTAATCATAACTACTCAGGAGACTGAGGCAGGAGGATAGCAAGTTCAAGTAATGTAACCAGATTCTATCTCAGAATAAGGAGTGGAAAGAGGGGTAGGGTTATGATTCTGAAGCAGAGTGTTTGCCAGGAATATGTGAAATCCTGAGTTCAATTCCCCTACACCAAAACTAAAGACAAGAGAGTGACAGAGGAAGAGAAAGAGAGTCAGAGACAGAGAAAATGAAAATACAAAGTAAAATTAATTTTCTCTTTGCTCTTCCAAAAAAAAGAAAAAGAAAACAGCAAAAGTATACCTTATTGTGTGACACTTCCGCTTCCGGTTGGATTTCCAGCAGGCAGCTAAAGCATGTCTATAATTGACTGTTGCCCTCAAACCAGTTCCTTCCAGTCCATCCCACTTTGGTAAATAGCAATGTCTTCTAACAGATGTTCAGGCTAAAGGTCTTGGAGTCATCTTTAACTCCTCTTTCTTGAGCAACTTGTATCTAACTCCCCAGATAATTCTATGACCTCTGCCTTCAAAATACATCCCCAGCCCAGCTGCCCTGTCCCAGCAGCTCCCCACTGCGGCCTTGCCAGGCCCACACTATAACCAGAAACAGCTCTCCAGCAACAGCTTTCTCACCTGCCTCCCTGCTAACCCTTCCCCACAGTCTCCTCAGCAGATGACAAGCCTAAGACCCAGCATGGTGCTCCTCTGTTCCATACTTTCCTCATCCCCTCATTTCTCCCAGAGGCCCTCCCTGACTCCTTCTTTCTCATGTCTCCCTTCAATTCTGTCACACAGACGCCCAGCTATTTCCCAAGAGCTGGTTCTTGCTACTCCTGTAACTAGAACCCTCCAGTTCCCTCTCCTCACTTTCTTCAGACCACTATGTAAATGTCATCTTCACGAGGCTTCCCTGACTATCTACATAGACTGAGAGCTTATTGGCTTTTTGGAGCGCTGCGTTATTTATTGTTTTAAATTCTGACCTCACTGTTGCTTCGCTGTGAATAATCCTCCACCTCTACCGTTATTGTCCCGTCAAAACAGCGTGTTTCCATAAATGGAGGTTGACATGTTTTACAAAGGCATGTGGATATTTAGTGGTGGTAGTCGTGGCAGAGACAGTGGTAAGGATTGAAACCGGGGCCTCAAGCATACAAGGCAAGTGCCCTTTCTACCCATGAGCTACCTCTCTCACACTAGTTTTTGTTGTTGTTTGTTTGTTTTTGTTTTTATACAAAAAGAAAGAAAAAATGAAAAAGAAGTCTTTGGGCAAAGGTAATGAGTTAGAGACAGAAACACAAGTGGAGAAACTTGGCCCTCCCCTTTCTGCTGTGAATCATTTGATGGGTGACATACAAATGCGTGACAATGGGGGCTGGAGAGATGGACTCAGTGTAGAGGTCTGGGCTAACCAAGGCTTTCCCTGAGGCCCTGATGTGTGGAGAAGGAACATAGCTCCTTCTGCCTTCTATAAAACCAGGAACATGCTTGCCAGAGCCTTTGATGGCCTGGGGCTAGGCACTGGGGGAACTGTGGCTTCAGAACAGAATTCTTCCCACCCTAAGGGACTATGGTTATTAGACTCAAGGCCACTGTGTGTCCAGACTGTAATGCTCTTGAGACACTCTGTGTTCCCCTTGTGTAACATGGCCTGATTAGCTTCCTGCTGACTGCATACCATTAAATATCATTTCTGCTGACTCTGTCCCATTCCTCCCCTAAAATACAGGGTCCTGTTTTGGTTCTTTTTTTTTTTTTTTAATTTTGGGGGTTGGTTGGTTGGTTGGTTGGTTGGTTGGTTGGACTTTTGAGACAGGATTTTTCTGTGTAGCTCTGGCTCTCCTGGAACTATCTCTATAAGCCAGACTAGCCTCAAACTCAAAGAGATCTGCCTACCTATGCCTCCCAAGCGGTGGGATTAAAGGCATGTGCCACCACCACCCAACTGGGTGTAATACTTCTTTGAAAACTTGTTTGCGTGAGCCATCAGCTGTGCAAGACTTCCTGATGCCAAGCTTTCCTTTCTCTTTACCTTCTCATCTCAAGGCCAACTCCCACTTAGGACCCTGCTGAGAAAGAACTCCCTGCTGGTCCAGGTCAGCTGTTAACAGAACTTGTTCTTACAGAGGACTCTGTCAGTTCCCAGAAGCCACAGGGTGGCTCACAACCATTTGTCCTCCAGTTCCAGGAAATGGGATTCCCTCTCTCCACCTCCATGGACACTAGGCATGCATGTGGTGCATGTACAGATGTGACAGTAAATAAATAAAGACATACATGCAGGACAAGCTCTTAGGAGTGAACTTGGGGCTACCCATCCTTCCCCACCCTCTGCCATGATGCTGCCCTTTCCGATCCCTGCAGATAGCATATGAGATCAGGGACGCGCAAATGACTCTGTTAGTGGGTTTACCTGGAATACATTTTAACTTATAAACTTTGCACTTTAATTTTTAATCATCAATAGGTCAACTAGAATATCACTCATAACACATGCTTATTGCATTTATTTACTAAGGGGCAGTTGCATGGTGTGACTATAAAACGTAAGAGGACAACCTGTAGACTCTGTTCTCTCCTTCTATGATATGGGATCCAGGGACTGAACTCAGGTCATCAAGCTTGGCAGTGAATACCATTACCTACTGGGCCATCTCACCAGCCTTCATTGTACGTTTTGAGCTCTACATACATCACCATGTCACGGTTGAGATCTGTTAGTCCAGTGAACTAATTTGCTATTTATTGATTTACAGTTCCCATGGATGATCCCTCGCTCTGCTTCCCACGGAGCTGCCAATCCCAAGCCCTGGAAAGTTCACGAAGGTGAAGAAAATTCTCTCCATCACACAAGACGAGTAATGGAGCACCAGGCAAAACTTACATGAGTAGCACACATTAGGAGAATGTGATTGTACTTTTATGCCTAGCCCACTGCTTTCCTGAAGAGGCCACAAAAATCGCCCTCCTTTGACAAGAGTCACATGGAGGGAGAGCAGGAGGTAAAAGGTATCCCAAATGCATTGGCCACACCAGGTACAAAGAGCTTACCATGTCTAATTGCACATCGAGTCTTGGAAATGTTAAAAGTTAAGCAACTGTCTGTCTCCTCTCCCTGCTCCTCCTTCCCCTCTCCTTCTTCCTCCACCTTTTTCATTATTCTCCTTCCTCACTTCTCATTCTCTTCAATAGAATATTTCCCACCAAGAAGTCAAAGTTGCCTAGCCAAATAGCTAAAGCAGGAAGCCAGATCTGACGAACTCCAAGGCTCAGGCTTTTACAATGTCACCCCACCACATGGGCCTGAAAGCTGATCGTCCTCTCCCCTGCTCTACTTCCAGCCAGGGGCTTCTAGAAGGTTTCCTTCTTCTTACCTCAGCATGCTTTCCTGAAGCAAACATCCACTTTACTTTGGTCACTCGTGTCTCTTCTGTGCTCTGGAAAAAACATCTCATCTGAGTCTGATCGCCTACACGGACTCTGAGCTCTGGGAATAGAATGGTAAACTGAGTCAGACGTAGAGTATAATTTAAATAGACTTTCTAGACAATAAAGTCTGGGGGCTGATGAGATAACTCAGTGGGTAAGAATGCTTATTCTGTAAGCCAAAGGACCTGAGTTCCACTCCCTGGTCAGGCCATCACCAGGAACCGAGACAGATGGACCTGAGAGCTCACTCACTGGTCAGCCATACTAGCCAAAATGGTGGTGCTTCTGGTTTAGCGAGAGATCCTATCTCTAAGCAAAATGGTGGACAGAGATGGAAGAGGACAAATACAACTGTGCCTTGTATATGCAACATAAACACACACACACACACACACACATACACACAATAAAGCATAGCCAAGGATTCTTAACAGCAAAAAGTCACTATCGTCAAACATGTGAATAAAATATCTAAGAGTCTTTTTCTTTTCTCAAAGCAACAGGGTGTCCCAGCATAAGAAAATGGTCCATCCCCCACCACAGGCACCAAGTCTGAGGTTCCTGTTGCTCTTATGCTCCAGTCAACTCTTTCTGCTTGCCTTTAACTCCATTCTCTTTCCCCCATTCCTCTCATATTTGAAGTCCACAGTAAGCACAGAAAAAGCTCCCGCTTTCAGCTCACAGACATAGAGACCCACATCGGCCCAGCACAAACAGGAAGCGGCAAGTCTGAAAACTCGTTCTCATCTTTTTCTTGCTCATTCTTCTAACTGGGGGGAAAGGATGACTCATGGACAACTTTCTTCAACCTCTTGTACTTGATTTACAAGTTATTTTGGGACTGACTTGAGATTTAGTTCTGGCTTCAACATAGATCATGAGACTCCTTGCAAATGAAGCCAAGGAAGTAGCCAGCTCTCCCCTTTGACTTCTGTTTCATTGGCCCTCTCCAAAGCGCTACCTCCCCATCTGACCCCACCCCCACTTCCACTGGGTTGTACAGGCAGCTGACCCTGCCATATTCTCTCTGAATAAGCCATTCTAAGAGATCCCTGAAAAGAAAGCAAGCAGAATATTGCTAATTTTTCCACGCTACCTTACACAAAAGAACGCTAAACCAAGGTTCCAAACGAACAAACACAGTGCATAGGCAGACTTCTCATCCAGGTTGCCTCCCTGGAAGAACATGAACTTCCTGCCCAGCAAGAAAGCTACACAGTGGGAAGAAAGCAAAAGAAAATAATATGAACTTAAACTCAGTGGAGGGAAGTCTTCTACAGGAAGTGAGAAGCCCCTCCGAAAGGCATCGATAGAGAAGGACCTCCCTCTCCATTATCTGAGCACAGTAAGAACTGAACACTCATGTTTTAAATCAATAACAGTAACTGAACATTCTGAGTCTTCCTAACACACTGAGCATGTGCAGACACCTTAAGGCTGCATAGCAACTAGTCGTTATAGCACGCATGCTCCATCCCTATGATTTGAGCCCATCCAGTGTTCCATATAGGTTAAGGACATGCTCGACCACAGAATGCATCCCCCACTGGAGAAATTACCATGTTTCTAGGTTCTTGCCATATTGCTCTCTGGTTTACAGAGAAGAAGAGTGAAGGGGGCCCAAAGCCACAAGGACAGTGAAAAGAAAAGTCAGAACTCAAACGTGAGTCCGAGAGAAAACATGCTGTACTCTACCACATCACGTGAGTAGGAGGAGGCCTGGGGCTCTGTCCACATGGACAGAGACACCTTTATAAACAAGTGGACCACCCTTCACCAGGCAACAATGAAGCAAAACCATTAGGGCTTAGATCTATCTGTTCCTGTTTTGGCTGGAGGGGGAAGAAATATAGGTTGCCTCATCAGCGATCAAGGAAACACCTGAGCACCCCAACGTGATCCCAGCCAGCTTCCTTTTGTTTTGTGAGACAGGCTAGTCTCGAGTTTCCCATGGGGCTGAGAATGGTCTTGAACTCCTGAATGGTTCAGTCCCTCAAGTGCTGGAATCACGGGCATGCGCCACTACACTTGGCTAAGAATGAGATAGATAGTTTTGTGGGTTTCTAATAGTTTTTATTTACATCTTTTCTTTAGAAATGTTTTTATGGATACAGCAAAGATATTTTAGATGCTCTGGGTGTGATTCATTTGGATATCATTAGTCTATTAGAAAAGAGAAGAGTGGAAGTTGTTCCCACAAAGGAAGCGTTTGGAACACCTGTAAAGTGTGCAGCTTCCTGTGCTGCCATCCTGAGTTCAGTCTAAGTGAATTAAGAAGTCTAAGAGTGTCACCATCTCAGGATTGGAAAGTTGGCTTGGTGGTTAAGAGCACTTGTTGTCCTTTTGAAGGACTGGGGTTCGATTCCCAGCATCCACATGAAGGAAAACTTCCTCAGGCACCCAGCATGCATGCAGTGCACAGACAAAGCACTTATATGAATAAAATAAATGTAAAAAGAAAAAGAAAGAGGAAGAGGAGAAAGGAAGAAGGAAGAAAGAGAGGGAGAGAGAGAGAATGTCACCATCTCTAAATAAGAAACTTTCTTTAAAATTCAAAATTGGTGCCCTCCATCTCTGGGGAACTTTCCTTCCAGGAGCTGGTTGACCTGGGTCACCTTTAGAGACCAATCCAACAACAGCTACCAGTGGTTGCCTGTGAGACTTATTCTTGAGATTTCTCTGGAGTATAATGTCTCTTTGGGTCACAATCTTGGCTGAGATTCTGGGTCAGAGAGAAGAAAGACCTTTCTAATGCTCATCCTGCAACAATTCCAGTCACCTCAGTCCAAACTGTCATTTTCAGACTGTTTGGAAGCACAATACAAGCTTCCCAAGGGCTCTGTGAAGAGAGAGTATGCTCAAACTAATAGCTACCACTATAGTACTGAAGATTTCGCCCTAAGGTGAGTCCTTGGCCTAAAGGCTGGTGGTTGGTCAGTTGGTCAGTCCTCATCCCTCTTCCCCTCATGCCTCTTCCCCTGCAATCTGTTCCCCTCTGGTCCCTCTTTGAGTAAGTGCCCCCATACCTTTAGGCTCCTCCGGTAGCACGCACAGTGACATGACCTTTTTCAACAATTGGCCTTCATCTTTGAGGCGTATTTCACAGGTGTAGATTCCCTCATCAGCCTTTTGAATATCTTGGAGCAGGAGAGAACCGTCGTTACGTAAGATGTCCCCCACCAAACGTGACCGGTTCTGGAAGCGCCCCGTAGGCACGCTAAGGTTGGAATAGTAGTACAGCACGTATTCATTCTGAGAGTAACAGACATTGGAGAAAAATCAGGAAAGGAACAAGACCTAGGAGTCTGGATCGAAAAGACCGTTATATGGACACATCAAACTTATCAATATAATACCCACCAAAAAGTACTCGGCCAGTAATAATATCGATAATGATAATGTACCAGGTACCTGTCTAGCTTGTACAAGGCTCCATGACTAATTTTCTATACAGACAAATGAAACATGGTATCCACAGTTTCATTTCTTACAACATAAGGAAAGGTGCAACACCTTCTCCAACCTGGGTATTAGAACTTTTTATAACCATCTCCTGTCTTATGACAGAGAAGATGAAACACCATTCCAATGGATGACCTAATTCTCTGCTGTGGTGGCTGGTCTTCCCAGCAGGATGGCTGCCACTCCCCTCAACTCTACCCTCTCCAGCCAGCAATATCACAAAAGAAGGAGTCCTAAGTAGGAATGGTTGCAGGCTGGGAGGTGGGAGGTGGAGCCCTGGGGCCTTCTTAATTCTGCCTCCAATAAAGATCTGCTTCTTTTATATAGAAATACAACTCTGAGTGAAGGAGCATTGCAGGGACAGCAGAGATTATGCTCTGAGTTACAAAAGCTCAGTGTTGAGCTGGCTGTCACTGACTGGCAAACATTGGTATTTCATTATCAGCAGCAGGGCCATGTCTCACAGGAGGTCCTGACACCCACACATCTCCATAAATCTTCTAACAGAGGCAGAAGACAGTCTCCCAGTCAGAGAGCTCATGAAAGTACATCCCCTGCCTGGCTACTAATCCCAATATTGCAAGCAGATGCAAAGAAACAAAGTATGGTCCCCCAGAATAGAAGAATGCTCAAAGAATCTATCCTGCCACAGGGAAAGATACCTGTACCATCCTGCATATGCCTAGCTCAGAGCTCTTCTGTCTAGACTACAGGAATTGCCTCTCACGTCCACCTCTACTGCCATATAGGGCAGGAGACAAAAAAAAAAAAAAAAACAACTGAGAGAGCTCCCATTGGCCAGGAACCAGTTAAGCACTGGCTCCATTATGGCCTGTCTTCTTCTTCACAGCAGGGGGCGGGGTTAAAGCTCAAATGAGGTTTGAATAATCTACCTAGCTTGTATGGCTCACATACAAGCTAAAAGGAGGCTCAGTGATGGCTCCTTCCAAAACTCTCACAATACTACCTCAAAGACTCAAAAGACTGATTCTCCCATGCCCATTCCATCCTGGCACCATCGGCCTGAGGCCTGTCTATGCGATCAGGCTGCCTCTCTCTTCCTTACCTCAACATGTACACCTTTCGAGAATAGCCAGTCTACTTTGTCCACATGTTTCTCTTCTGTGCGCTGGACAACACAGCCCATCAAGGCTGATTCACCCGCACGCACTCTCAGCTTAGGGAAGGAGTCAGTCAAGTCTGACAGGCACTGTGAATAACCTACAGGGGCTAAAGGCAAGACAACATGTTATTTAGACAAGCAGTTTTCAACAACAAAACTCAGTGTCTATCTCTAGATACTATCCAGTTCCCCTCTGTCCATGATCCAGCATAGTCTAAGCACTTAGAGCCTCCCCTCGGTGAAACCAGCACAAAGAAGGAGAACCATCTCGGTTTATCTCCATGCTTCAAGTCTGAAGGATTCTGCACTCTTCAGACTGTAAAATGAGCTTGTTAGTTCCCTCGGCCTCACTAGTCCTTCCCCTTTTCTGGAATTCCTTCTCCCTTCCTTTCTTATGAAAGGAGATCCTGAAGTCCACATCCCCTGACTCACTTCTCTTAGCTCTGCATACAGTATTCTAAAGGTTAAATTAAACAGGAAGTGAGCTCTTGTGAGCTCACCGGTTCCCTATCTGGATGGCCCGATTACTAGTGACTGTTTCCTCCTCGGTTCCCTTTATTTAATCCACAAAAGCTTCTCTCTGCATTTGCTACAGTTAAGTGGGCCAGAGCGGAGTATAACTCTCTCTTTGAATCTCCTTCACGTTTGTGCTCTCCCAACCTTGCCATCAACTCTGACTTTTAAGAGGCATTCCCAGGTGTGGATTCCCTCATCCCTGTCATCTGCTTGTCGCTCACAGAATTTCAAAAAGTCACCAAGAGAGAAAGCCACAGCAAGGACATTTCTGTTTTCATAAGATATCCTCTGGCCAAAAGAACAAAACCTGAGAGGCGAATTTAGATGCTGCCCAGTTCGTATTAAAGAGCCAACTGGACACATGGGAAGGGACAGAAAGGTGCCAGCCTTTTCATCCGAGCCCTCTCTCCTGAGAGAAGAGAGAGGGAGGGCTTCCTGTACAACAGCAGGCTCACACAGTGGGGAGGATGGGAGAGAACATATGAACTCTCAACCCTTTGTAGCTACAGCAACTATTTGGAATTTTCCTGTGAGGAAGAATTGAGTGTGTGTGTGTGTGTGTGTGTGTGTGTGTGTGTGTGTGTGTGTGTTCTATGTCACCTGGAATTGAGCAAAGGCAGCTGTTTTGTTTGTTTTGCTGAGTCAAGGCTCACTGTCTAGAGAGTCAGCGGGATGCTACCAAGCCTGATGACATCAGTTCAATCCCCCAGACTCACATGGTACAGGAACCAGTTCTTGCAAGTTATTCTCTGACCTCCACACTCTTGCCCCCACATAAATAAGTAAAATAGTAAACAATAATAAAGAGTTGGGTGTGATGGTGCATGTCTGTGATCCCAACACTGGAGGCAGAGAAAAGAAGATAGTGAGTTCAAAACCAGCCTGGACTGGGTAGTATCAGATCCCAAAGAAATCCTGGACAAATAGCAAACTGTGGTGCCTATTTAACATACCAAAAATTCTACACATACACATACACACACACACACACACACACACACACCTGCTCTCTCAGCATAGCAAGTATCTGTTACAGAGTCCAGGCCCCTCTCAGCACTTCTCATACACCTGCCTACCCTAAACCTCTCCAATATCTGAACTTTACTTCCCAACCCCCCACCCCAGCTTCTGACTCCTATATACCCAGATATTTTGGCCACAAACTTTCTTTGCCCTCTCTTCTGTCTCTCAGCCTCTTGGCTCCTCTTTCTCTCTCTTGGTCCTCTGCTAGTAGTTCCTGACCCTGACTCTTGTCCTTCTCTCTTCTCTTCTCTTCCTCCCTCACCTCTCTCTCCTCTCATGACCTGATCTAATCTGCTGACCACGTTCATTCTAGACTCTTCCTGGCCTCTGGTTGTACTCTCCCTCATATCTACAATAAACATCTCCTCAGCCACACAGAAGGACCCTGGCTACAAATTCAATTCATAAATAAGAGAGCAAAGAATCAAATTAATTTCTTCTTCCCATAGCTCTATTTCTGTGGAATAAGAAACAAGAAATAGGCTGAAAAGAGAAAGAGAAAAGAAAGAGGAAGAAGCGAACAGCAAATACTGTCCTGGACACCTGGGCAAAGTATGGGCAGGAAATTTGCACCCAGTCTACTGAGCCAAAGCAGGCTTCCCAGGAGGAAGTAAAACTCAGGAGAAGCCTGAAGAATCCGGAAGGCTTGAGCAAGCTTGTGGGAGTGAGGTGCTGGGGAAGGGGCAAAACCAGGCGAAACAGAAAGTTCCAGGCAAAGCACACAACGGCAGATTGGGAAAGAGTTCCCTGTGTTTAGAAACCACACAAATAAAAGGTCCCTCCATTTCCCTTTCACATCTGACACTAGTTGTAATTGACAGGCACCATTCTAGAACAGCCAGAAAGGACAAGCCAAAGACATTCTGTGCCCAACAAAAGTAGACAAAGGCAAGAAGACTCAACCACCTGCTTCTAAAACAGTGGTTTCCCCAGAACCAAGAAGTTCCAGCTCAGGGTTTCCATATCCCACAAATCAAAGGGAATTAAGCATACATAAGATTAACTTTTTAAAATCTAGTCTGAGACAAGGGCTAGCGTTGGCTTAGTGGGTAGAAGCACTTGCCACCAAGCCTGAAGAGATGAGTTCAATTCCAGGAAACCATACAGGAGAAGAAAAGGACCAGCTCTCAGTTCTTGCACTGTGTCCCTGACATCCACACGTTCCTCCCCACAACACAACACTAAATAAATAAATGTCCAAAATGCGGCTAGGAGACATTTTCCTTAGTCTCTTGCTTCCACTTACCCAGGATCACCAGAATCACAATCATTTTCAGGAGGCAAAGCATGATCCTTTCACGTTTTCAACCTTAAGATTTAAAAAAAAAAAAAATCAAAAAATTATATCCAGAGAACACTGTTAACTGAACAAACTAACAGTGAGTTCCGGTACAGGCCAGGTTCTGTCTGGGGCACCAGCACAGTACTGATCCCGAGAGATGAAGCCCCAGCACAGCTACAGGTTATATATGAGGAAGGGTGGGAAAGAGAAAAGCAAGAATATACATAAACAAGACAACATCAGACTCTGAGAAGGGCTACAGGAAAACAAAACCACATGATGTTTGCAGAGACACATGGGGTCTGCTTCAGTTTGGCCAGAGGGGACAGTTAGATGAAAGTTGCTTTTCCAAACAAAAAAGGCAAATGAGTCAACCTTAGATGTTCCTGGCTGTTTCCTTCACACATACCAAACACAACAGGATCCATACGTAACCTTGACGTTTTACCACCTGAATTGGAATTGCACCTTGAAGCATACAAAGACTGTCCAGTCCATGTGAAAGAAGAAACAGCCAAAGGACGGGAGTTGGTTGATAATTGACGGTTTGTATTTACTGTGGTACTAGAATTTAAACCTAGAGTGGGTGTTACACATGCTAAACCATCAATCCACTAACAGAGTCATAGCCTCAGCTCACAAAGGGGAAATTTTAAGCCCTAAAGGTATTTATTACTTATCAAACTTAAAATATAAAGACACCACATGAAAGACCTTTTTTTTCAACCTTTTTAGGGCAGGACAGAGTGGGTAGAACTAAGAGTTGCGCTGTACACGTAAAAAAAATTTCTAATGTCTTTGCTATGTCTGTGCTATTAATTTCATGACATCTACCAGTTCTTGGAAAATGACTCACTGCTCTATTCAAAGTTCCCCCAAATGTTCTTAGCCAAACTAAAGAACCCTAACACTAAGAAGTTACAACTCAACCCATCTTGGGGGGTCAGACCTATTGCCATAACTATCTCAGCTGTGACCCCAAACCCTAACTGCTTAGCCACTAGTATTTTACTCTAACTGCTAAGAAAGGTCCCTTGTTGTATTAATAGCAGGGGGTGCCCACTGGCTCTGCTAGGACACCTAGCACTGGTCATACATGACTCGAAAAATAAAAACGGAAAATACATATTTCTAACTGGTTGTCAAAAGATGCCTTACCTGTATTCCAATCAACAAAATCCACTTGGAAAATGAAAATTGCCCAAGGAGATTTCTTCCCAGGTGGTCCTTGACTCGCTCTATCTTAGCTTCCTCACCTATAACACAGGATAACAACGTAAGGATCAGATACGGTCATATAGATAACACCTCCCTTTATAGGAACAGCAAACTATCTACCAAAATGAACTAGAAGCTTTGACTGCCACCACAACTTGAGTAGACAATAACTGCATTGTTCCAGCTATGCCAGGAGTCAAATAGAAGCCCCTCTACTGAAAACACAGATCTGCTCTGTGTGACCACCTTCCTTGACACATACACAGCTGGTGGCCATCAAGGGCTTCCCTTAGGGCATGTCTTAATTCCAGTGTATCATATTCAGACATCCAAGATACCTGCCACCTTCCCAGGATCTACTGAGTCCTCTTCTCTGCTCAGCAAACACCTCCCGGCTCTCAAAGGATTCCCTCAAGAGAGCACCACATGCTCAGAAAAGCAATGGCTAATTTGCATGTCTGACACCAATGGCAGTTAAAGTACACGCTCAAGGACAGGATCCTGTGTGTCTGGTTTGTATTTTCGCTCCACCACTGGACTAAGGGATCTACAAATTGCTGGGAGCGCCCCAGATAAATGTTTGTCACTAACAATGTGACCATTACCTTGAAATCAGCTTCAAGGCATTCTGCAACCCCTTGACACTATTCTATAAGGAAACCAGAAACTTAAAAAAGGACTCACTCACCCGGCCACACCCAGCCTTCTTCAAACCAATTCTAAGAAATGTATAGTGTTATAGATAAAAAAATACACCCTTTCAGCACTAAATACTCAAATGCACTGATAGAGTTTCTATGTGAACTAGAGAGAAAAGCAATGATTTTAAGCAGAAAGAGCATTGAATTTGAAGGGTTTTGTTGTTGCTTTGTTTTTCTGTTTTTACAAGTTATTTTCCAGATTTCAACCTCCTGGAACTCAACTTTAACAGCATAGGCTCAGACTTTTTATTCCTCTCTAGTTGATAGGCAACTACACTAGGGAGAGTCGATACCAAATAAACAAAGAAAGCCGTCAGGGATTGTCTGAGCAGTTCACACACGAACTCACTCAATTTTCACCACAACCACAAGACCTTTTACAGACGGGGAAACTGAGGTACAGGTGAGTGGTACGGTTTGCCTAAGAACACATAGCAGATTGGCATAGTCTGAATTCAACCCCAGGTGATCTGGATATCTGGATCTTTCAAGTCCAGCCTATATCATCACATTGCACATCTGTTACTCCACATCTGTCAAAGTCACTGATGTTTTAGTGTGTAGACTCCCTAGGCTTTATTTGGAGAAACAAGAGTACTATGCTCACCTGACTGAGTGTTCTTCCCAACCTCTGTGTATGCCTTCATGCCCTGAACTCCTGTTGGTTCCTCTTTCAGATGTCAGGTTAAACATCATTTCAGGGAGCTCGCCTGTCAGTCATCCATCTGAGGACAGACCATCTAGCCACATGCCGTCATGGTGCTACTTATCTTTCTTTCTGGGATCTGTCACAGCTTGTAAATCATCTATTTGTTGGGATGCCCATCCAATTAAATATTTGCTCTTCCCCTCATTCTCAGCTCCAAGAGGCTAAGAAGGTGTCTACGTACCAGTACAGCTCTGGTGCTGATAGTGTCAGGGTCGGGGGGGCCAGGAAATCCTCACTTTACAGCTTCTCAAACAAGCTCATGATGACACCTTGGGAATTTACCAAGAAACCTCTAGTTAAGTTTCAATTTCCTGGGTAGGTGGCAAATATTCAGAATATATATATATATGTATATATATATATATATATATATACATATATATATATATATATGTATACACACACACACACACAGAATCACATATCACTTAGTGAGGGGGAATATGTCAGCAGGAAATTCCACTCTGTGACCATCCCAGAGTGTACCTATGCAAATTAAGATGGCTACAATGCCACTAGGTTACATAATCTTATATAGAAAGTCCTATCTATACATTGTTGACTAAAATGCTATTTAGTACATGATTACACACACACTCACATACACACACATACACACACACACACATATTTTGAAACATATATGATTCCCAACATTCTGAATTCTAAACACATACAAATGGAATCTTGGCTTTTAAAATTCCAACAGACACATTCAGAATCGCCGTGCGGATGGGGTTGTTAAACTCCCCTCTCTACCGAGCTCTCTTTCTGGGTACTGACTTAGCACAGTAGACAATCAATCACGCAGCCAGTCATTTCCCTTGCCGGCCGAGCATCTGACCCAAGCTCAAGACTCCATCACGGTGACTCCTGGCAAATATCTTCTCTCAGTCCTAGGGTGTGTGTAACCACCGGGAACTCCTTCCTACAATTAACAATGAATGGAAGCTTTTCCCCTGGGTGTAATTATGGCAGGGGAGAGAAGCTTCAGAAAAGAGACTTATAACAATGAGAATGTCACACAGAATGTGGCCCTCAGATATGACAATACTGCAAGACAATGGAAGAGCAGGGTGCTGTCTCCTAGCCAATTTGCCCCTGGTAATAACAAAGACTACAAAATCAGACAACTGTGTGGCATTCTTAAGCGTGCCTCTCTCCATTGCAATGCTAACTCCCCTGCAGTTCCTGTGCACCTTTGGGCTCTCAGAAACGTGTAAGTATACAAGTCCTTGTGGCACTCGGAGATACAAACCTCTTAAATATGCCCCTGACTTTCCTTCTGAGACCGTGTAATGCAGATTGAGTAGACGGGTGCTTCGTGGCTTTTGAAGCACAACATGGGTCACACACTACTCAGATGGGACCTTGGGACCTCCAGACCAGCGTGTATCTAGTCATCCTCTAGCCTGCATCTGCCTTTCAGAGGTCTGGGCTATGTCAGGGTGTGACGAGTAAAGGCAATAAACACTGAGGCAGGAGTCTTGCCACAAGCTCAAAACCAGTCACGATTCTGCCTGAAGCCATCAGCGACAGGAAAGCCAAAGCTCCTGAGTAACCTAGTCTGTGTTTATCACAGGCGAGGCTTACTTCTCTTTCTCTGAAAACCTTCACACAATGTACACAACAGAAACTAAAACTGCGCCTACTGGTCTACCTCGCGGCAGCCCACCTGCAGAGTCCAGGAATTCCACGTGCAGCCTCCTCATCCTACAGCAATGCCAATTTAACCATCCTTCCTTAGAATGAAAACTAGCCATCTCCTCAGAACAGCTCAAACAACAGCTCACAGCACACAGAGTCACTACTTACCCACAATGACACTGCCCAGGAAAAACAGTGTGCCACGGTCCCACACACGCAGCATCACCCACACTGACTGGGAGACTTCTGCCAGCACAGTAGATCAGACTCAGAGCAACCCAGATGTGCATGCCTTCTGTGGTGGCTGCGGAAACAGAAACAGGAACCTCGCAATCAAGGTTCTCCATTCAGACATCTAGCGCACAGCTCTGTTTGCATTTATAGTTTCATTATTTTTTAATTATGTTATTTTCAATTTTACAAATGGTATTCGATGTATTGTGATGGTAGTATTCACCCTCATCGCCCTCTCTTCTTCCCAGCTCACCCCTGCTGATCCTCTTCCCGATTAATCCTATGCGTGTGTGTGTGTGTGTGTGTGTGTATGTGTGTGTGTGTGTATGTGTGTGTATGTGTGTATGTGTGTGTGGATGTGTGGATAGGGGGTACATTGTGCACCTGCGTGTGTGCCTGTGTATATGTATGCATGCATGTGTGCCTGTGTGTGCCTGTGTGTGTGGTGTATGGGCATACTACTTTGTAGTGTGTGTATGTACATGCATGTATGTGTGATGTGTGTACGTGGGGGGGATACCTGTGTGCATGTGTGCATTTCCCTGTACGGTGTGTCTCTAGATGCATGTGCACATGATATGTGGACATGGGGGTGAGGCTTGTATGTGTGTGTACATCTGTGCCTGTTTGGGTGCCTGTGTATTTGGTATATGTGTGTGCATGTATGTGTGTGCACCTGTGTATGCAGTATGTGTGTGTGTGCCTGTGTGTGGTATATATATGTGTGTATGTGTGTGTGTTCCTGTGTGTGTGAGTATTGGTGTGTGTGTGAGCTTGAGTGTGTCTATGTCCCTGTGGGGTGTGTACCTGTGTGCACTGTTCATGTTTGTGTGTGTGTGTGTGTGTGTGTGTGTTCCCATGTGTGTGCCTCAGTATGTGCATACATAGGTTTTCTGCAGGTAGCCACAGCTGCTGTGTCGATATGATTACCATGGTCATGTCATATCCAGAAGCATGGCACCCCCGATCTTCTGGCTTTAACATTCTGCCTCTTCTTCTGCAATGTTCTGAAGCAGTGAAGGGGTTGACACAGCTGTCCCACTAACGGTATGTATAGTTTTTATTCTAGAAGGAAAGACTTGCAACTCACTGAAGTGAGCCTCACATCCCAGGTCCCTGCAGATGTCACCTCCCTTCTGGATTACAAACTCTGCAAGCAAGATCTCAAACGGGCTAGATCTTGTGGTGTAGGGCTGATATCACAGCACCCACAAGGCTTAGGCAGAAGGAGCCAACCTGGACTACACTCTGAGCCTTTAGCTAAATAAAAGAAAACAACAACAAAAATTTTGAATGGCAAGAGGCATTTGCTGAGAAACCAGATTTATGTAAATAAAGCACAATTAATTTGAGAAGAATAGAAAAACATCCGGCTGTGTTTCAGACACAGCAGCAACATTTCTTTTCTTCTCTTACCATACAGATGCAGACTGGCTGCTCAGTCACCTTTAGCTGCTTCAGAGACTCCTCTGCCCAGTGCTCCGGCCCACCATGTTGCTGTAAAGGTTCCCTCAGACTGTAAGGGTTGCCATCATACAGGGAGCAAGTCGTTCTCCTAGCAAACCCTTTGAGTGGCATGGCCATCTTGGGGGACAAGTCAGAACATCCTGAGTGCCAGATAGCTCTCTGTTTTAATCACCACTTCAAATTAATAGTTCTTATACATACACATTCACCCCTTGTTCTACTGGATTGGCCCAGTAGAACAAAGCCTGGGTTTGCTCATCTTTTGAAATCTGTCCTGTCCTGAAAACTGTTGAATGTTTTCTGGCCCCAAGGACTATGCCACATGGGCCTCGTGTAAATATTCCCAGTGCAGTGTCCACCATGTTGCCACTCGGCTCACAAAATTTCTAGAAACACACTCATCAGCTTCTGCTATGTGAGCTGGTTCCAGCACACCACTGGATCTTGCTGGTGTACAGCTCAGACAAGATTTCTCAAGGCTGAAAACCACAACTCCCCCACCCCCTTCATAAGGTACTTCTCATTTTAATATAGCTAGACACCAAAAGGGCAGCCACAAGGTGCAAAGAAGTTTATTAACTACAGTGGAGTAAAGATTCCATGAGTCACAACGTCTGTGCACGAAGCTTTACAGCTCACACTCTCCTGCAAACAAAAAGTCTAATTTCATTTTAAAAGTCAGTGAGAGACAGTGGTAAGGAGGCCAACACCAGAGAGGGCACTTCTGGGAGCGAAGTTTTGAGCTGTGCAATTAAGCAAGAGCTTTGGTCCACTCCATGGATCTTCTTAGAGTCCTTCTTCAGAACGGGAGCTCAGCGACACAACAGAACATTCTGGATCAGGATCTGGCCTCCAGGTTTTCCGTTGTTGTAAAATATGCATACACACAGACGCACACGTATGCATGCTTGTAACTGGGATGGGGAAGGGGTAGGAAACTTGTCCTTCTGAAGTCCCACTGCTGACTCAGGAGCTGCAGACTGCTAAGATGTCCTCAAGTGGCCTGAAGTAATAGGCCACAGAGGGAAAACAAAGCACTTTATAAATTCACATTCTGTAATAGTTTTAAGAGTCCGCTACATAAAACTCAGAAGGTGATATAACCATAATGAAAGACAATGCTATAGTGTCAGGTGGTTTGAGCCCACGAGCATCAAAAAGGGAAAAAACAAGTATGAGAATGTCACCTTAGAAGATATTAAAACAGCAAGTCAGACAAACCCTCTATCGTATGCTCATTCTTAAAGGAGGGCTCCACAGACAGCTTTATTTTCCTTAGGATCAAAAAGCTATAGCACAAACCTCAGCATAGGAAACTGAGGGCGGCCCAAGCCAGGGATATGACCTCAAACTCACGGAGCAAATAAAATCACTAACTTACTCCCTTACAATGAAGGACTTGATTGTTCTGTCATTTACAAGAGAAAGAGCCATTTCAAAGCAGGCTACACAACAGTGTACCAAGTACCCATCAGGCATCGGGTCGGTCGCAGAACTCACCAATGTCTGAGCTAGATAAAAAAAACTTCACAATACACTTGCAAGAAAATCCTAAGACACTAAAACTGGTCCCTCATTTTCACAGGATGATGGTTTAAATGAGGTCTTGTAATGCTCTGTCAGAACAGTGAGGCCCACGGCATGCCCCCTCCCACCTGGATCACTCTCTTCAGATCTACAAGTGTCCAAATTGTTTATGCTTGGTGGCTGAATGCTTCCTTTTCTCTGTTGAACCATCAGAAAGGGTCTCACTGGATTGGCCACAGACACCTACATCTTTAACAAGTAGCCCAAAGAACCATGGAGTCTAAGGACCAGAAATATAAAATGCCAGTCCCCCACTCTGCCTCTTCCAAGGGCTTCCATGACCAGAGGTGAATCACAATCATGAATCAGCAGGCTAGATTAACAAGTCTTTCATGCAGAGTTAATGATCTCAGTTCAAATGTAATATCTTTGCGGTAAATAGAATGACTTTTATAAGATACATAGTATATATCATAGCATATACACTGTAATATGGAGGGCTCCCAAGCTACTTTGGGAAGAGCCATGAAGAAGACCACCATGTTGAACCAACCAGGGCTGGGGAAGGGGTCATTAGTGACTCTCTCTGGAGAGCCCTGTTTGCATACATGCTAGTCCTTCCAATAAGTCAGGCACATCTTAGTGGTTTACAGAAAACCCAGTATAACTTAAAATAACAAGTAAGTTGCTAAGGAGAGTAGAGATGTGGGTTACAAGGCACTGAGTGAGGAACGAGGAAATGTCCTGCACAGCCTCACTTCCCCATCTCCAGTACTGAGCAAACCAGCGTTCGGACGCAATACCCATTTCTGGTGCAATTTAGAACCAAAGTTCTAAACAACATCACAAGAAAAGTGAAAAGATGCAAAGCAAGGGACTACAAAAAATATTTCCCAAGTCGCCACTAAAAACCTTCTTAAGTGGCATGTCTTGCCTCTAACTTAAAAAACCAAGAAGGAAACCACAAGCTAGTCAGTTTCAGGAACACAAAATAAAAAAGATTCTGTGGCCCAAAGCATAGTTAGCAAGACAAATAAGAAAGAGTCTTCTACCTCAAAAACTGTTTCCGTAACTGTAAATTGACAATATTTTAATACTTAAAAGACCCAGTCCAAGCAAGCCTACAACTTGTAAACCTACTGAGCTGAAAGAAATCAGGGTCAAATACTCCATGTCACCTAGACACAGCTGATGACAGTTAAACCAAGTAGTGCATACTAAATACTGCCTGGAGAACATTCGTGGAGAAGAAACAAAGGCTATCCGTCCCAAATGGGCATGTTGTTCGTTGGCACATCATCAGGAAGCTACAGGTTCCACACCATTTAAAAAAAAAGTACAATTTTGGCATCAGCAGAGTGACAAGACATTTGGTCTCCTTCAGACAACTGGAAGAAACCATGAACTACATTCAAGAGCGAAGGTAAACCAAGCACTGTGTTTCTGTTCAAGAATTTCTTTGCTCAATTAGAGTGTATTAAAGAAGGGAAGTCACGAGTCCCTTCCTGGAGTTTCTGAACAGTTTATAAATACAAAATAAATGTTTCTTCAATAAATAAGTGGTCCTTAAGGTCTTCACTGATGACCTTCAGAATCTTCTGTCACTGCTGTCCCTGCCAATGGCACTCCTGGCCGGGGGAATGGGATTTTTCCTGTTGTTAGGTAACACTTCTTGCATCACACACACTCCATCAGTATGCCTCTTCGTAGTCTGAATCCTACAGGGGAAAGAATAGCAGATATATGTGCACCTCAATGTTGCAGTCAGATTTAAACAAAGACCATGTGTAGAGGGTCTCTAAATGGAACTGTGCTTGGGGTAGTGACAGTTATAGCACATCTATGTGCCCTGTAGCACCACAGGACCTCAACACAATGTGTCTACCAGGCTGGTTTCTGCTTTGAAGACCCAGTGAGCATCTCTAAAATGGGGATAATACAGTCACAGCTCACAGATGTGCATGGAACAGTAATGGGTGTGAGTTTCTTGGCACTGTGCACAGCACTCTATAAAATACCTTGGAGTTCAGCCTTTCTCATTGTTGTTATTCAAACTCATACCTCACCACTTGGGACCTCAGTGGGCCATTTGTGCTATCTGGTATATCAGATTGTCCTGGCTCTTCTATTAGTCTTTGAAAAAGACTACTTTCTAACTGACTGACTTGACTGACTGACTGACTGACTGACTGACTGACTGACTTATGTACTTAGAGTGTATATTTGTGTATACCCACACATATGGAGGTTAGAAGACAACGATTCTCTCCTTCCACTATGTGTTCCAGGGATTAAACACAGGTCCTCGGGCTTGGTAGCTAGTACCATTACTTTCTGAGCCATATCGCTGGCCCTAGTTTCCCCATTCTTCTAAATAACTGTTTCATACCTAAACTCTTTCCACTGTCCTCTGACCCCTCCTCTTCCCGTCATTTTTAGATCAGGACCCTGCTTTATCCTACCATTGAGAAGGTAGGCTGTCGGCTAAGAATGTCCATGACTCTACCACCAGATTCACTTACAAGCATAAGGCCTCATCTGTTCAGCCTCTCTACTGTCCTGTCTGTCTGTCTGTCTGTCTGTCTGTCTGTCTGTTTTTTTGAGACAAGGTTTCTCTGTGTAGCCCTGCTATCCTGGACTTCACTCTGCAAACCAGGCTAGCCTTGAACTCAGAGATCCACCTGCCTCTGCCTCCTGAGTGCTGGGACTAAAGGTGTGCACTACCATGTCCAGATTTTCTTTACTGTTCTTAAGTCTTTATCTACAGCTACTATGTCCTCCTGTGACACTTTTCAGTGTCAACTAGGTAATCCTTCCTTCTCTCTCTCTCCTGCAACATCAATTTTTCCTTCTCCATTGGCACCTCCACAACAGCACAGAAATGTGCCCCGTTTGACTCATCACAGAAAGTAACTCTTAAGACACAGGACTCATCTCTACCCTCTGCCCCTTCCTCTGCTCCTACCTAGAAGAGCTGCTTGTCCTCACTTCCTCCAATGTATCCTTGTGATGGTCTTGCCCCTTCCCCAGCCCTCTGCACCCTCACCATCCCTGTGGATCTACTTCTGCCAAGGCCATCAATGGCTTCTACATCACCAAACCATCCACAGTAAACTTTCAATTCCTTGAAAAATGTTCCTCATCTCCCAAGATACCAAACTCTCCCGGTTCTCCTCCATCTGCAGAGGTCATCTCTTTTCATTGTCTTGTGCTAATCCCTCTTTGTCTCTCTAATCTAGAAGCCTTAGAGAACTCCAGGCTTAGTCCCCCTGACCTCTCCTACATATCTAGGTCTATTTCCTGTATCTCCTAATGGCTCCTATGGTAAATCTGCAGACTAGACCTCTCTTCAGAAAACATAATTGCCTCACTGCACATTTCAAACCTACTATGTTCAAACTCAACTCCTGATTTTACTCTTAAATCTTATTCTGGGGCTGGAGAGACAACTCAGTAGTTAAGAGCACTCTTTGCCTTTCCAGAGGACCTGGGTTTGACACCCTGGGCTCAGTAGTTAACAGGACCTGGGTTTGATTTCCAGAACTCACACGGTGCTTCACAACCATCTGTCACTTAATCTCCAGGTTATGTGTGATACCTCTTCTGACCTCCATGGCATTGTATGTACATAGTGTGTAGACATACATGCAGGTAAAATACCCATACACATAAAATAAAAATCTTGAGTTTTAATGAAAACACTTTAAATCTTGCTCTAGAAAATGTTGGTTCTATTCTATGAGTTATCCAAGACATTTAGAATGATCCTTGCTTCTCTCTCTCTCTCTCTCTCTCTCTCTCTCTCTCTCTCTCTCTCTTTCTCTCTTTCTCTCTTTCTCTTAAAAAAAAATTCCAGTAAATTCTTCTGGCTTTACTTTCAAGCCAGAAAACAAAATACATCCACTTCCTGCCATCTCTACTACAACCTTCTCTCACTTAACCAACTGCTAGTGCCTACTACTGAGGCTCTCTGAACCTGCTCTGGTCCCTCTACCAGCCTCAACACAAAAGCTAGACTGAACTTTGAAAACACACATCAGTCCCCTCTAATGTATTCCGTTTCATTTAGCACGAGACCAGGTGACCGAACCCTTACAAGATATTCTATTCATTCTTTGACTCACGCAGATCTCATTCCTTCTTGCTTTCCACACTGTATCAAAGTCTTCAGACCTTGAAGGCTGGAACTAGGTCCTTTCTCATAAAAAAACTTTTTCTCCTCTCGCAAAGGTGACCCAAGCTCACAGAAGTCAGAGTAAAGAAGAAAAGCCCCGAGAGTGACAGACCACACTCATCTGGTGACATGCTGGGCACGGCAGTGAGCACAGAGAGGGCCCAGTGACAGGTGTGTTCCACGTTAGGCCATATGTTGATTTTGACCACATCAGTCTTCCCTCCTCCTGAGATCCCAGGACAGCTACACAGCCTGTGTCACCACGTGTGCTCAAAGAGGGACACAGCCTCTAGAGATTTAAACCAAGATGAGAACACTCCAATAAGGTGACAAATGACATCAACCAAGCCACCTAAAAGGCTGTCCATTCGGACTTCCTTAAAAATACCAGGGTTTGGGGGCTGGAGAGGTGGCTCAGAGGTTAAGGGCACTGGCTACTCTTCCAGAGGACCTGGGTTCAATTCCCAGCACCCACCTGGCAGCTCACAACTGTCTATAGTGTATAACTCCTGCTCCAGGGGACCTGACACCCTCACACAGACATACGTGCAACACCCTCACACAGACATACATGCAATCAAATCTCCAATGTACATAAAATAAAAATAAATAAATAAATTAATTTTAAAAATACCAGGGTTCATCAGAGATGTTACATTCATGGTTCTGAGTCCAGAAACTTGAAAATCCCAAGTATATATACCCTCCATAGGGTTTTTTTTTCATTTTTAATTTTTTTTTGGTTATATTTGCTGGGTTGTTTTTTTGTTGTTTGTTTGTTTTTTTGTCAGTCAGTAGGTTACATGACTCCTTCTTAACTTAAGAACACAATTCTACACCTGTGATATAAAAAAATAAAATCATGGGCCAGTGAGATGGCTCAGTGGGTACAGGGGCTTGCTCTAAAGCCTGATGACATAAGTTTGATCCCTGGGACCTACACAGTGCAAAGAAAGAACCAACTCCCACAAGTCATCCCCTGACCTCCATGCGCTCACTGTAACGTAAGTTTGGTTTTTTTTTGTTTTTTTTTTTTTTAACATGAGGGCTGGGAAGAAAGCTTAGCAATTATGAGTACTTGTTGTTCTTACAGAGGACCTGGGTTTTGTTCCAAACTCCCATATGACTCACAACCATCTGTGATTCCAGCTACAGGCAGTCAAATGTCCCAAATGCCCTCTTCTGACTTCTGCAGACACCAGGTGTATAGGTATTATGCAGAATACACACAGCCAAAGCACTCTTATATTTTAAGAAAAAAAAATTAAAAAAAAAATAATCAAGGTGAGAATCAGTAAGCCTTCCCAGAAACCCTGCTTCATGCTTTCCTGTGCTGGCTTTCCCGTGTTATTCTTGAGAGCAAACGATCCTTCAGATAGGCAGGAAGATAGAAAACACCAAACAGAAGAAACAGGGCACTTACCAGACACTCCGCACAGCGGACACAAAGCCTCGCCATACAGTCATTGCTGTCCTCCTGGTCAGTGCTGTAGAAAGAACACAAAGCAAACTCAACTGTCACTGTCACCACAGGGGACCGTTCCAAGCTCAGGTATTGAAATCACATGAGTCTGGTGTTACAGCCAAACCTTAAGCAGAGCTGTTAGGAACAAGTCATAAATAAATGTGCGTGAAACACGTATCAGAACACCCAGCAAGGCTAGGTAAATAGCAGCTGGTCACCATCACACAGAAAAGCACTGAACAGCAGCCAAGGTGGAGGCGCCATGCTGTGTGGGAAGAGAGGCAACAGAACCTGGTCTGTGGATGCACTCTCAACCCCATGTAGTGAGAGCTGTAAGAATTAATTCGGATTATAAAACAATACAATAGTGTTCTAGGGTTGGGGGAAGGACTGCCATGCAGCAAAGCACAGGGAGGGACCAGCCCTCTGCTCGGAACTCAAGGAGTCCAATAGGAAGGAAACATTTCAGCTCAGTTCTGGAGGGTGAGAAAGCTTCTAGACAAAAAAGAGAGGGAAGGGTGTGATTCTAGGAATGCTGGGGTGAGGGGAAAAAACAGATGGACAAATAGATGGACGGGCAGAGACAGAGATGCAGGCACACACGCGCGCGAACACACACACACACATGAATGACTGTAGTATATCTAGGAGAATAAAGCATAAGCTGACTATAGTCGGGCTACAGAGGATGAGAGTACATTATGGTAACTATGACTTGGAATCAGACCTCAGAAAGTTGCATATATATGGCCCTTTTCATCAATGGTTCTGTGTGTGTGTGTGTGTGTGTGTGTGTGTGTGTGTGTGTTACAGATTCCTTGGGATGGGAAGTCTTTCTCCAGTAAATAAATACACATAGAGACAGAAAGAAAACTTTGGAACTTCCCAAGGTAAGATTCTCTCACCTATAGTTAAAGGCCCTTTCACAGACAAGGGAAAAGTCACATAATTATTTGGTTGTTTTGTTTGGCTGAGACTCGGTCTCACTATGTATCCCAGGCTGGCCTGGAACTCATCATGTAAATCAGGCTGGTCTTGAACTCACGCCAGTCTGCCTGCCTCTGCCTCCTAAATGCTGGGATTAAAAGTGTGCACCACATGCCAGCTATAGTGCTTTAGTATAGGCCTGTGTTCCTTTCAAAAAGTAAATCTCGAACTAGAGAGATGGCTCAGAGGTTAAGAGCACTGGATGTTTTTTCAGAGGTCTTGAGTTCAATTCCCAGCAACCACATGGTGGCTCACAACCATCTATAATGTGGCCTGGTGTCCTCTTCTGGCCTGCAGGGCATACATGCAGGCAGAATATTGTGTACATAATAAATAAAAAAAAATCTTTTTTTAAAAAAGTAAATCTCAGATGAGAAGTGGCAGTGTACACTTTTAATGACAGCACTTGGGAGGCAAAGGCAGACAGGTCTCTGAGTTCAAGACCAGCCTGGTCTAAAGAGTGAGTTTGAGGACCAACTAGGACCATACAGAGAAGAAACCCTGTCTCAAAAACAAACAAACAAAAATGACAAAAGTAGATCTCCTCCTGGGAAACTCTTGGATTGCGCCTGCTCACTGGCAGCACGGTGAATGGCGGCGATATAAACGCTTTGGTAACTGTGGTGGTTTCCGTAGGAATGGCCTCCGCAGGCTCAGAGGTCCGAATGCTTAGCGACCAGGGAATAACTCTTTGACTAGGAGTAGAAGATGTGGCCTCCTTGAAGAAACTATGTCAGTGGGGTGGGCTTTAAGGTTTCAAAAGCCCATGCTAGCACCTTCTCCCCCCTAAAGACTAGGATGTAGCTACCATGCCTACTACCATGATGACAGTGGTGGACTAAGCCTCTGAAACTGTCAGCCAGCCCCCAGCTAAGTAATTTCTCTTATTGGAGTTCCTTGGCCATAGCGTCTCTTCCCAGCAGGAGAACACTGACTAAGACAATAACCACATTTATTTAGCCCTTTCAGAGCATCTGCTGACCAAGAATAACACATACCTATTGAGATTTCCTTTGCCCTTCAGACTATTCTCAAAGCTTCCTTCATTGCTTATGAAGACATTAGCTCAGTGCCAAAAAAGAAAAAAAAAAGTGAAAAAGAAAACTATGACTTGGAGTTTCATTTTAGTTTTAAGAGAACGAGACACGTGCTCGGATATACATGGAGAGCCCAGCACTGTGCAGTGTGAAGCCATGTGAAGTCATGTGAAGCCGAAGTGCCCTGTCCATCCTGACCTGCGTGACAATACCCACAAATGTCACTGTAATCTTCCTCCTGACACCCCTCATGGAACAACTGTGTTTGGAAGGACATCTCAGCAGCGGACCAGACTTCAGCAGGGGGTAAGATGTAGACGTGAGAGGCGGTGCTGCCCCAGAGCAGGGCTGTGAAAAGGAACGGGCTCCGTGCTGGGGACTTACTCATCAGAAACTTCAATGGAAGACTTCTTATAGCCAGACCTGCTCCTCTTCTTCACCCCCGTTGCCTTCCTCCCCATTCGTACCAGCAGCAGAGTGACCACCACTGCCGAGGGGACAAAGACGAGGATGGAGAGAAGGGCCACAGAGGACAGCATGGTGCCAAAACCTGTAGGAAACACCAAGGGAGGGCTGGGGCTTCAGGTGCTTCTGACTACAGAAGGCACAAACGCATCATCCAAAGTATAAAATTATAAGAAACATAAGCATGCACACACGATTCCATTGCCTACAAGTAACACATGGCTACCAATCCATTCTTCTTCCAAGAGTCTGAAAGCACATGTTGGGCTGGAGGCATGTTTGTAAAAGCAGGAGTCCTATTGTTCACGTGATTTTAGCTTAACAGATGATAAATATGGGGATTTTTGTGATTAAAAGGTCCTGATTATAAAGGTTCTTCGACCAGGCTGTGGTGGCACACACTGTTAATCCCAGCACTAGGAGGCAGAGGCAGGTCAATCTCCTCTGTCAAAACCCAACCTGGTGGTCTACAAAGTAAGTTCTAGGACAGCAAGAGCTTTGAAGTGAGACTCTGACAAATAAATAAATAGCCTTCTAAAAACGGTACATAGAACTCCACTATACTGAATCAATTAGCAAATCAATTCTCTAACTTCGAACATCCAACTTTGACTCTACAAGTTATATCAGAATGGCCATCCTGGTGTTCCGCTCTGTCCTCATAAGATAAATTTTAAAGTAGAATGGTAGGATCAAAGGAAATATAATTTTAAGAACTATTAATTCTATTGCTAAACTGCCTTCCAGAAAAAGGAAATCTATTCCTGCCAGCAGTATGATTATGCAAATGTGACATAGGTTATTGTCAAACCAGATGACCATTATGACAAACAAAATGGCGAGGAGGAAGGGAGAGAGGGAAAGGGAGGAGAGAGGGGAAGACAGGAGAGAGGAAGCAGAGGAGGGAGGGAAGCCCCAAGAAATGGCAGAGCAATTACAACTCATAAGGTATCTTTGTGTCTTTGGTTCAAATCCAGTTTCAAACCCAAATGACCATTTAATAGTCATTAGTGAGAGACATTAAAAAAGCCATTCACAACCTCATCTCCACAGGAGAAGGAAGCCACTGTTCTTTGTAAGTAAAAGAAACGTAGGGCTGCCCATCCGTGGAGGGAACTCCCTGCTTTCCAACAGTCACATAACTCATGGCATGAACTAAACAGGGCCCCTAAATGACGTCAACATGACACATCATCACCTTCACTAACGTGGGGGACTACCCAGCATGGCTCAAGACATTTGGTCACTTGAAGACAATTGAAAAAGGCAACCCAGAAGTTATGACAACGTTGGAAGAGAATAGTCAGTTTTCCAAAAGTACACCCTAATGGTTGGTGAGCTAGCTCACGGCTGTGCCCACCGACTCCTACAAGCTGTCTTCTGATCTCCCCACACACGTTGTAGCACACATGCTCACATACCAACGCACAAAATGAATTTTTTTTAAATGTTTTAAAAATTAATCTTAACAGGCATATGAAAGGCGACTTTGACACAGTGGTCCTCTAAGTCAACTGATAAGTTCCAGAAAGGGCCAGAGGAGTCATAGCATGGGAGGAGACTGGCAGGAAGCAGCTTACCCCTTTCTGTGACCGTGAGCTCTGTCAGGGGGATATTGTGGTACACGTCTGGAGGGTTCTTCACAGCACAGCTGAATGTCCCATTGTCCTTTAGAGTAGGGTTGCTGATGCTGATGGACGCATCCCCTTTGTAGACATTTCCAGCCCAGGAGATCCGGTCTCGGAAGGTGCCTGCGGTAGTCGGGTACTGGAAAGACTGGTAATGGAAGATCTGAGAACCAGCATCATGAGAGACAAGGTTAACGTGGACAATGGAATGAAGAGCCGAGTAGATCCAACGCTAAAGAGAATTGTATAAAAGGGATTCTCTTCCCCTGGTTGTCTCGTTGTTGTTGTTGTTGTTGTTGTTGTTGTTTGATTTTAATGCTTTTCTCACCTCTACCTTAGAAAGACAGGTTGATAAAACTGATTCAAAAAAGGATTGGCAGGCAAATCTGGGATCTCGACCCTTAAATCTTTCCTGTGGCTGAGAGATGGCTCAATGGCTGAGAGCACTGCCCTTCCAGAGACCTCAGGTCAGTTCCCAGTACCCACATCAGGAAGTTCACAGTCACCTGTAGCTTCAGCTCCAGGAGAGTCCACACTTCTGGCCTCTGAGGGCACCTACACACACACACACACACACACAGAGAGAGAGAGAGACAGAGACAGAGAGACAGAGAGACAGAGAGAGAGAGACAGAGAGAGAGACAGAGACAGACAGAAACTGACAGAGACACAGAGAGACCCACAGAGAGACACAGAGACAGAGATAGACACACACACATACATACATACACACAGAGACAGACAAACATCTAGAAAATAACTTTCTTCTAAATTCTTCCTAAAGCCCTCAAATAATAACTCTCAGGCAAGGGCAACTTCACTTTACAGAACGTTTCACAATATGAATAGATTCTCTTTTCCCCAACAAGGTTTAATTTTAATTTATTTCTAATTGTGTCTCTATGGGGCACAGTGTGACTTTCCTACATGATTCTGGACCTCGTGTATGCTGAGCGCTGTCACTAAGCTACCTCCCCCAGTGACGCTCAGTTCTGAGGAACTGTCATGTCATTTTCTAACATAGCTGCACTATTTGCATTAGTAAATTTCCCTTTTCTCCAACCTGTGCCAATACTTATTATAATTTTTCTTTTTAAGATTTTATCTTTATTATTTATATTATCTGTGTATGGGTGTGCACACATGAGTGTAGGTGTGCACAGAAGCCAGAGAGGGCATCAGATCCCCTGCAGCTGGAGTTACAGGCCACTGTGAGCCACCCAATGTGGTGGTGTGAACTAGGCTCAGGTCCTCTGTAAGAACAGCGTATACTCTTAGCCACGAAGCCATCTCTCCAGCCCCATAATTTGCCTATTTTATAATAGCTTTTCTGGTAGTCTGTGAGGTGATATCCCATTACAGTTTTACTTTTATTTCCTTTATAATCAGAGACACTGAGTTTTCCATACATCTGTTGATGTATAGCACCACTAAACTTCCCAGGAAGTATTAGACAGTCTCAAGGGCTTAACTGTTAACAGTGCCGAAATATGGAAACAGTACCCTGAGGCTCCCCTATCGTCTGTTTATTGTAGTTTGCAAATGACTTTTACATGTTTACTCATTTGGCCCTTACACCCCCACCAAACCATACGAGGAAGCTGTAACTATTCTGAACATATAGGGAGAGAAACAAGACCAAATAGCAACATGGAGCAAGTTACTCAAAGGCGTACAGTGACAAAAGGGAGATTTTTTTTTTTTTCCAAATCACTGGGCAGGTGTAACCCAATCCAACCTCTCTCGAGTTATCTCTGGTGACAGTTAAAACAAGCCTCACGTCAAAGGCCTGATAAGCACACAATGAATATCTGCTGTATTAAGACGATACTGCTTTGGACTTAGTGACTGGAAGCTTGGTCCCTAAAGCACATATTTACACTGAAGGTGTGACAGGCATGTCTGACAAACAACATGACTCTTATGCAAGACAAGAGGCTTTCCTCTTTCTTTGTTTATTTGGTTCCTTCCTGCTTAGGACACCAGGCATCTACAACCACTGAATTGCCCAATTTTTAAGAGCTATTCCTCAGAGAAGATGCTGAATCACTCACTGGTTAATTTCACCAAGAATTCACTCCACAAATCTTTAGCACACATTCCACGTTCCAGGTGTGTGACTGAACAGAACATGGTGGCCCGAGACACAGCCATGGCCTCTATTCTCGTGGAGCCTACCTTTGGTAAGATAGCAAATTTGGTACATGTGACAAATGCTCCAAAGAGGGGAGAGAGAGGAGGCCTAACAAATCAACGTGATGCTGAGTGCCTCAACTCCCAGGTACTTTAGGAGGCTGAGGCAGAGGAGTGCTGTGAATGTGAGCCCAGCCTGGATTATACACTAAATTCAAGAACAGATTGAGGCACAGAGCAAAACTTTGTGTCTAAAAAACAAGGCCTCTCTTTGCCCATCAAGATAAAAAGCTTAAAAGCGCTTCACAGACCTTCCAGGTCGATGTAACTCATGAATTACACGGTACATGGTAAACTAGTGAGGCACAGTTCTCACTCCCTTGCAAGCCTCACAAACCACACCACTGCACCCTTGAGTTACAAGACTCTGAAGTGCCCCTAATTCTAATTCAGATGAGCCTGCAGCCTCCCCACCAGCCTCACAGAACAGGACTCTGGAAGTGCCGGCTGCATATAAGGTTTCTGACCCAAGAAGCTCCTGTTGCTCTCTCTGCCCTACTTTTGGACAAGGAAGGGGAGCCAAATAAGGTCAGCCATAGCTTCCTGACAGCTCAGAATAAGGTGAACTATTTTAGCTCTAAAGCAACAGGAACCTTGATTGCAGCTCCGTTTCCTTCGCTATGGTTACCCAACCCGCTCTGCACCGGGCACTCAGTAACAGCTCCGAGTGTACAACCAAAGCACAGTCACTAAGATGAAAGGTAATTTTTCTTCCAAAGAGGGAAAACAGAATAAAGAACACTTTCCAAAATCCAGTCTAGGGACAGTGACATGGCCTAGTGAGTTACGGCAACTTGCCACTAAGCCTGCTATCCTGAGCTCATCCCCAGGATCTGTGTGGTGGATGGAAAGGACTGGAATCTGCAAGATATCCTCTCGCATCTGTACACTTGAAGTGGCATGCATATACAAATAAATAAATAGATATAGAAAGAGAGAAAGAAAGATTCAATTTACACATGGCTATGACTCATTCTTTTTAAACAATTTTTAAAAATTATTTTATTTTATATGTATGAGTGTTTTGCCTGTAATGTACGTCTCTGTACAGTGCATGACATTACCCATGGAGGTCAGAACAGGGTGTCTGATCTCCTTGGAACTGGAGTTATAGAATGTTGTCAGCCATTGTGTGGGTGCTGAGAATTGAACCCAGATCCTCTGGGAGAACAGCCAATGCTTTTACTTGCTGAGCCATTTCTTCAGCCCCAATTCATATACATTCTTAGATAGTATCCACCCTAAACTAAGGCAACTGATGGAACTGTAAAGAGAAAGGGTTTTTACAGCATTGTAATCTCTAATTAAACACTCATAATGGAATTTGAACCATAAATATGTTTTATGTGTGTGATTAAAGTATATTGCCTCTAACATCACAAGGCCATCTGTCACCAGTGATATCTGTCACCAGTACAAGGTGCCACCACTTCCTTCAAAGGCAGCTACATAAATCACTGCAGACGTTTACACGGCCAGAGGAAAAGCCAAGATAAATCTGCAGTGTGGATTCTCAGACAGACACACCCACTGAGACAGCAGGATCGGAGTAGCTCTCAGAGAAAGGATGTCTGTGATGTAAGTGGGGAATTTCTCCAGCCCACGTCTTGATGCCCTTTTTAGTACATCAGATCTAAAGTGAAGCTGTAACACCACACAGAAGGAAACAACAAGGCAACAAAACTAAACCACATTTCCTCTTGATTTCAGACCATTTTTTTTTCCTTGAAGGTAACGCACAAGTGTTTTACGTGTCAGAGTGAAACGCTCTGTGTAATTAAACAAACATCAAATGTCAAATGTGCCATAAGCGTGGCTCACCCCAAAGGTCTCAAAGCTTTTCTTTCTTTTTTCTAAGTTCACACCCATGTGTGTGACTGTGAATGTGTGTCTGAATGCACGTGTGTGAATGTGTACGTGTGTGTGTGTGCCTGTGAGTGTGTTTCAGGGGAGTATGAGCATGTAGGACCACTGGTGCCATGGGGTATATGTGGAAGTCAGAAGACAACCTTTGACTTCCTCCATGGGTCTCGACTCAAACTCAGGTCATCAGACTTGCACGGCAGGTGTCTTTATTCCCTTTCTTTCTTTAAATGTAGATCAAGCTGGCTTCAAACCTGCTATGTTGCTGAGGGATGGCCTTGATTTCCTGATCTTCCTACCTACCCAATGCTGAAATTACAGGCGTGTGCCACCATGCCAGGCACTCAAGGGAACTTTCTGGAGAGTCCACACTCACAGATTCCGTGCGGCTGCTGCTGGGAGGGCGGTATGTCCAGTCTATGGTCAGCTTGTCAGTGACATCTGAAGATGACTTGAAGGTGCATTTCAACTTGACCTTCTCTCCCACATATCCTCGGACGTGAGCATCTGCACTTATCTCCAAGGAGAGGACGGAACGCACACCTAACGGGAGGAAGCCCAGACATGTACAGTGCACTTGCTTTGTTGGATACGAAAATGTCAACATGAGATAGATCTTTGCATCATTTTTAGTGATCTCGCCAAAAGGCCAGAGCCATCGACATATGTTCAGCCAAATCCACAAAGAAGGAACTAAGATCTAATAATCTTGAATAACATTTTTCAACACGTTATAGCCTTAAATCATAGTAGACAGTTGGGCAAAAATTAAAAATCTAACCGCACTAGAATTTTCCCAGTCACAGGCTTGCAGTTAAATTAAATACAAACAAGTATGCGTTGCCCAATAACTAGAAGGCAATAATACCTACCCCTCCCATCCTGTGTCCTCCCCAACACCCCACCATACACAACCCAGAAATAGAGCAGCTTTTATGAGGTCTAAGAGACTCAACCAAACACAGTCCAGTCACAGCATGGGGCCACTAGTGACTCAACCAGCAACAAAACGAGGATAGGAAATACAAATAGGAACGTCACTTTTAAAACTGTCCAAAAAGGTTCTGTCTAGTCTTTCCCCATTCCTCCTCTTCTTCTTCCTCCTGCTCTCCTTCCTCCTCTTCTTCTTTTTACAAAAGAATTTACTTTCATTATTTTTAATCATGGGTATGTGTGACTATCCTCATGTGGTTACATCCACACGAGTGCTGGTGACCAGGGAGGCAAAAGGCATTATTATCCCCTGGAGCTAGTTACAAGTGCCTGTGAGTCTGAGATGTGGGTACTGGGAACTGAACTCACAGTAAGTGCTCCAAACTGTTCATTCTTCTCTCTAATACCTCTTCCCCATCCTCTTTCTCCTCCTCTCCTCCTTTCTTTCTTCTTCTTCCTCCATCTTGAGATAAGGCCTTGCTATGTCACCCAGTCTGGCCTAAATTGACAGCTCTCCTGACTTAGCCTTCTAAGTCCTAAGATTACTGGCATGTACCACCACACCCAGCTATGCTCTCTCTCCTAAAGCTGGTTAATGAATCACACACATCTATTAAAAGTAAATTATGGAGGGCTGACGGGAGGTGTAGTTCAATGGAGCACCTGCCTTAACTTAGAAGGCCCTAGGTTCTGTACTTAACAAAAAAAAAGAAGTAAATTGTGGAGAAGAAAAAAACAAATAATTGAATGTATTCTACAATGTAAATGTAAGATATCATTTTTAAAGCCTACAGAGTGTGGTCTTTCCAAAACCATTCATTCCAACTTTGACATTCCATCTCTCCACAAGAAGGAAAGAAAAAAAGACCAACAAAGATAAACAGACTGACAGACCTGGCACTTTCTTCCAACAGATCCCCTGTGATGTTGGGGAATTAGTGAATAAAAATATATACACACACACCCCACTGGAGAGCCATGTTTTAGGAAATTAAAACACTATCCTTTGTTTTTCCTGCTTCCTTCTCTGACTCACTAAGCCAAGGTTCTTCTAGTAACCAAGGGCAAAGACCAGAGCATGATTCCAGAAAAGAGTACTTCCACCCAGTGGTCCTTCTGTCACAGGCAGGACAGTGCAAGGACTGAACACAAGTCAGAAGCTCTGGGTTCAAACCCCAGCCCAATGGCTGGCTCTGAGCAGCTTAGCAAGTTACAGAAATGGAGCTTACCTCCAAGTCACTGTGAGGACTAAATGAGTTAAAACACGTACAACACCCAGAAAGTCGACCTACCTCCAGCAACGCCCCACGCCTGCCTGCTGAGATCGCCTCCTGTTTCTCCGACAGGCTTTTGACCTTTCCTACTGCTGGCGTTTCTGAGTCATTGTCCCAGTGCCTGTACCTCTGGCAGCTTTGAATCATTTTCTCACTCCTCTCTGGACAATCTAGTCTGGTCACATTCCTCCAGAAAGGAGGAGACCAAGACAGAGCTCACTAATAAGGCCTTTAATAAGAATCCGGCCCATCTCAAAAATGATGGCCATCTGGTTCCTACACAGCACCCTTTCTGACTGCCATGATAAATTTGTCCCTCCTTACAGGCTCCTGTAAATGCTCATTTCTCCGCCAGAAGAACCTCCATTCTCAATCTCTAACTCCTGACTCATCAACAAGAAAAACCCTATTCAGTCCTGGAGAGTCGAGTCTAAAACCCGAATGGTAGAATAAACCTATGAATTACACATGTCCCTCAATCTATGGTGTTAGCCTAAAACATATTACAACATATAGCTTAAAGGAGTAGATTTGAACCTAGCCAGAATGACACCAAGCGCTAGCCCATCTGACTTCTGATAAGGGCTGGGTCACAGTTCCCTAACCTGTTCAGGCTTCAGTTGCTAGATTTGGCGAATGGAAAGAAAATCCTCCTAGGATCACTGTGAACATCCAATACACTTTAAATATATACAAGCCTGGGTACAGGGCCCTGTGTTTTCTCCCTAGCACAATACATAAACACACAAATAAATAAACACACGTAGAATGCTTAGTAGAGCTTGTTAAGATAAAAACTTCTAACAAATATTAACTATTATTATTAAGGTGGACAATACACATACTTAAAAAAAAAAAAAACCTGAACTAATTCCCCACTGGGCTGTGGATTAAAATCTAAACAAGAACAGTCTTTCTCAGACACCTGCCGACTACACGGTACCCCTTATGCTGTCCCTGGACTGTCTAGTCATTTTCTGAAGAGCCTGTTTTCTTTCACGCCTCTATGCTTTTCTTAGAATAGGACTTGTCTGGAAAGCTCCCTCCATTCCTACCATTCTGCTGGAGTTGCTCCCCACTACACCCCAACATTCAAACACTGTCACCACCACTCACATACCAGCCCACTTTGTGATGGCTTCCCCAAATTCCCTGAAGTTTCCATAATACAGTACCACCTAAACCCATGTGCCATGACCACACCTGATCTATAAACGCCATTTCCTGCAAGAAATGCAAGCACCATCAAGGCAAAACTCCAGAGGGACAGAGGCAGGCGGAGAGAAGCTGGGAGGGTCGCCATGGTTACTAGTGTAAGACTATGTGTGCACTGCTCACTCTTTCTCTCCCTATCACCTTCTTTATGGAATTTTCAATGCCTCCCTCGATGCTTCTGTCTGCATCCATTCAGAAAAAGATCAGTTCTGAATAATCACTTCTAGACTGGCGGGGGGGGGGGGGTATACTAAAGGAGGAAAAACATATCTCACAAAGGCACAGCCAATTCCCACAGGAAATAAATACCGGCGGGAGGGAGGTGTCAAGAATGTTTCTACTTAGAAAAAGAAGGTTTCTACTTAGAAAAGCCACTCACTGAAAGAGGGGAAACCAGGCATGAGTCTGGCTCCCGGTAAGTTTGCTTGTCTTTGATACCTAAGGGATGCTGTCAAAGAACAGCGCGTCAGGGGCCAGCAACCTACGACCCATGACTCAAGTGGAAGCATCTGGCTTTCATGAGAAAGGAGCAAACGCATAATAATTAGCCGTCACCCTGCAGGTAACCCAGACTGTCTAAACCAATCGGTCTCTCCCGTGACCCCACAGGAAACAGCTAAAACACTTCAGTCTCTATGTAAACAGAATTATATTAGAATGCCACCAGGTTGGTTTGTTTATGGCTGCTTTCGCACACCTGTCAGAAACTGAGAAATGCGGCAGAGGACAGGAGCCCACACAGCCTAGACATTACCCTCGTTCCATTACTGGAAACAGATACCAGAATCTGCTGTAGAGCTAAGACAAGATCTGGGTAGAGTTAGCAATCAGAATCTCTGTAGTTCCTCCAGCTCTCCACAGTCTCTCCCTCCTCTATCTCTCCTGTCTCTGTCTCTGTCTCTCTCTCTCTCTGTCTCTTCTCCCTGCCTGTCTCTCTTCCTATCTTTCTCCTCCCTTCTCTTCCATCTCCATATTTCTATCTTTCTCTCAAACCCTTTCTTTAAAAATCTAATCCTGTGTTACAGCCATTCAAATCTTCCCCCATTTTAGCACAATATCCTTTCAGGCATTTAACTTTTGTTTTATTTTATTTTGTTTCTTGAGATAAGACCATGCTGTGTAGCCCAAGCTAGTCCATCCTCCAACACTCCATCCTCCTGCCTCAGCATTCCAAGTGATGGGATCACCATGTTCTGGCTTGATATTTATGCTGGCCAAGTCAAAACAGCCAACCATAAAAATATCATAAAAATTAACAAAAAAAACATTTAATTAAGAATAAACATCACGCCGGGCAGTGGTGGCGCACGCCTTTAATCCCAGCACTTGGGAGGCAGAGGCAGGCGGATTTCTGAGTTCGAGGCCAGCCTGGTCTACAGAGTGAGTTCCAGGACAGCCAGGGGTATAAAGACAAACCCTTTCTCAAAAAAAAAAAAAAAAAAAAAAAAAAAAAAAAAAAAAAAAGAATAAACATCACATTCTAATAAAAAAAATCATCTTTGAGCTGAAAAAAATTAAACACGACAAAATCTAAGGCCCTAACTTTATACATCCCATTTCCCAAAATGCAAATCTTCCCATCTTAAATGTATATATTGACATGAGATGACAAACATGTAATACGGTCATTATCACTCCCCCCCTCTTGTTTTTTCAGAGTCTCCTGTTTCTCAGGTTTGATTCATATTCGATATGTAGCTGAGGATGACCCTGAACTCCTGGTCCTCCTTCCTCCACATCCCCAGTGCTAGGATTACATGCATGCACCACTACCCCCTGTGCTACATGCCCAGACCCCCAGGCTGTAATGTCTATATACTTAGCCAACTGAAATAAACAGAATCAGACGTAGAACTTAAGGCCAATTCAAATATGATAGCGATGTAAGGGTTCTCAGTCTCTGAAGAGGGATGGCAAGTAAACACTAGTGGGAAACCAAACCCTCTCACCCACAATTCAGAGACAAAACGAACAGACAGACAAACAGACGAAGCACCACGAACAAGACAAGTGAGGAAAGCTAGTCACAAGGGGGCACGCCTGGTTTACATTGTATTAAGTACCCAGAATAGACAAAGGCTTAAAGGGGCAGGTTGGTGGTTTCCAGGGCCTGTGGGAAGGTCGGAATAGATATGGGATTTCTCTTTTGGGTGATAAAAAGTTCCAAAAGTGTTTGTAATGATGATTGCATAACCATGCACCCTAAAAATTACTGAGTTGTATATTTAATGAATGAACAAGCATATGAACTACTACATAGCTTTATTTTTTATTTTATGTGCCTGGGTGTTTTGCCTTCATGTGCGGCATTTGCATGTCTGGTATCCCTGAAGGCCAAAGAGGATATGTGATTCCCTGGGACTGGAGTTACAAATCATAGTAAGACACAATGTGATTTCTGGGACTCAAACCAGAGTCTTGTAGAAGAGCAACAAGTGTTCTTAACCACTGAACCAGCTCTCCAGATCCCTGGTTTGTTTATTTTAAACTGGAAATGTAAATCTATTCAAGAAAACTTGGAGGAATGGGTGAGGAATGTAAATCTTGAATAGTTTTATACATAGTGATCAATACCTTTAAAACTATTAACAGAATGTGTGCACACTTGTAGAGATCAGAGGTAGCTCTGTTGAGTTGGCTCTCTCCTTCCACTTGTACGTAGATTCTAAAGATGGAACCAGGTCTTCAGGCTTGCGTAGCAAGCACCTTCACCTACTGATTCATCTCGCCAGCCCCCCCCAAAAAATTAATGTGTTTGAACCATTTGTTTTGCTAGATTTGACACCTGCTCCTCTTATATGTGAAATGACACTAGATCTAAAAAAAAAAAAAAAAAAAAAAGACACAATTTCTAGAAGTTTTTTCTCCTTGGAACAATATTTGGACATTTCTCCCCCACCCCCTACCCCTGCTATGTACAAAAAAGAGATGAGTTTATATGAAGTTACGGTAGGCCTGGCTCTACTGCAAAAAGAACTCAGAGGAAAAACTGGACATTTATGATGACACAGGTAGCTGGGAGGGATCAGGGAGTGTGCTGGCAACATGAAGATTAGTCACCAGATAAATAAAAACCTCCTCACCTTACCTGATGGGACTCAGCTGCCTAATGTGTTCATAGTTACACAATATTAAAGACCCCTTTCAGAAATGTCCATTATTTTCAGGGAAATGTTACAATACAACAATTCATTCTAATATTAGCTATACTAGTATTCTATTTCTTAGGAAGATATATATATACACACACACACAATAATCAGACAATATTTGCACTTCGAAATAAAGCTAGTTTGAATTGAAATTTAGAAAGTGGAATAGCATGAAAATAAAATTAACCAAACCTTACAATAGTGTCATTACATCAACACTGAACTGACAATAGTTAAAAGATTTGAGTTTCAAAAGAACGACTATGACTTTTCTTATACTTTAGAATGTTTATAAAGTCCTAAGGTGCCCTTTCTTCACCAACAGCTCAAAGAAAGATCACACTATAACCCTTGTCTAAAATATTTTATTTCAAAGCCTCTGAAATAAAATCACCAAGTCATGATTTTCCTTTCTTTTTATCCTTTCTTCCTTCCCTTCTTTCTTTTTCTTTTCTTTTTTTTTCCAGCGCTGATTGTGTCTGTCAAAATAACTGAAACAACCAGAATTGCCAATTTCCGACCAGGGTGTAACAGCAATACGGAACCCTGGCGGACAAGCACTGAAAGTCTCACAAGGTGAGCGTCTGCAAAGCCTGAGCTCGCCGCGGTTTTATGGTAGCATCTTTGAGGGAGTGCCATGTCACACAAGGTGGTCGGGCTCCGACAGCGGAGGACAGTGGGAGGTGCTAGCCGAGAACGAACATCATCCCACAACCCCTCCTTCCCTTCCTTCCTTCCTTCGCAGAAGCCGAGCGGGGGGTTTCCTGAGACCCCCCAACCCGGAACCGGAAAAGCGACCATCTTTCCTGACCCCCCCTCCCCCGGCCGGAAGTGGAGCCCAGCCAGCTGGCGCACTCACCCTGGACGACTAGGATGCTCAGCAGGGGAAAGAGAGCGCAGCCACGGCCTCCTGGTGCTCCTCTTGCCTGCTGCATCCCGACAGCTCTTCCGACACTTACACACCTCTTTACGGCTCCCGGGGACCACGCAGGTGGTGCCGGAAGTGACGTCATTGCGGAGTCACCTTTGAAATAGCCATCCGGGCCTCAACCTCGATCAGGGGCAAGGATCGTACCTGGTTCTCCTGATGAGAAGTTCTTTGACTCTCCTCAAGAAGGCTCTGATTGCGCTCTTCTGCTTCAAATTGGCTACAGACTTTGGAAAAACAGTTTTATTTGCGTGGAATTCCGGGAGACCAGGCTCAAGCCTCCGACTGTAATCCAGAAGTTTTGTCTCTATCTCTAGAGTTGAAACCTCACAATAGATTCCCCTACATTTGAAGTTTAGGGAAGCAGGCGACCCTACAGGATCAGAATAAATACATCGTTATCGGGTTCTGTGGTAAATACGTGCAAGCCTCTTCACTTGTGTTCCTTTTAATGTAGCCATTACATCATTCAGAATTGGATGCTTATTAAATTACTGCGGTGACGGTGATGAAATCATCACAGCGTGTATTTGAGGTGAAGGGGAACTTGGGTTTGTGTATCTGTATATTGTAAAAGTAAGGATATCATTATCACGGTACTTGACGTGGAATGAGATAGTCTAACATGCTCAGGGGGAAAAAAAATGGAAAAGAACCCCTCTTTACTTATATAGTCACCCAATTCTCCTGGACCCGCCATGGTTAATGAAAGTAGAGGGGGAATAAAAAGTCTCAGCTCTTGGAAATATTTCATAGGTAGCGTTTTCAACTGGCATAGTTTACTAGACTTGAAAGCCGGTGGTTTTCTCTATGGAAAGAATAGGAGTAGAAAACCAAATATTCTTGTTTCTAAAGTCTCCAAACTAAGCCAGGCAGGATGGCAAAAGCCTGTAGGTCCAAGATCTGCAAGGCTGAGGCAGAAGGACTATGAACAACCTGAACTTTAGTTTAGTAGTAAGACTCAGAGTTAGGTTCAAGGAATGAGTCTTCCAAACGTGTGCTATCATTTTGCCCGTTTCCCAGCTCTCCAAAGCAATGTGTACAGCCTATAGAAATAACATAAAGCTACTAGAAATTAATTTCATCAATTAATTAGTAGACACTGCTCTGCATGTCTACTAAAAAAACTTGAGCAAAGATCAACATCTTCCCTTGTTTTCCTTAACTCCTGTTGAGATTTTTGCTGATTCGTGTGTAAGCAAATAATAAAACTCATAATTCTTTATTACTAAGGGTTTATTTACACAGTGATTCAGGCATAATAAAAAATAAGTTACAGTACAAAAGTACTCTTAAGAAGGAGACACTGAACAAGAATGTGATACCCCATGAGTATTCAAACAAGACACGGGCTGCAAGTTTCCTAGAGACATTTCCTGTGAGTTTTTAACTACTTCATTACAAGTATGAAACATACATAGGCCATCTGTTTAAAGAGATATCCAGTTACTATGATTCACAAGAGAAAAATACAGATCTAACTTGTAGCTTCAAAATTAGGCATCAAAACTTTAGACCAGGGTATGGTGGAGCATGCCCTTATTTCTAGCACTTGGGAGGCAGAGACAGTGGGATCTCTGAGTTCAAGGCCAGCCTGGTCTACAAAATGAGTTCCAGGACAACCAGAGTGGGATCTTGTCTTAATTTTTATGAGAGAGATGGGGAAGGAGGGAGGGA